TTTTTTTTTTTTTTTTTTTTCCTGGGATACTAAAAAGAAAGACAGAAACGAGATTTGAAGAGTTGTCTCTGACTGGGAAATCACCAGTCCTAAACACTTTTTAATACAATGAAATATACCATACCTTTAATTATGTGATAATTAAAGTTCTTTTGCTAAAAGGTACTGTTTCATTGGGGAGATTTGTTGTATGTTTTTAGAGGGAAAGTTGTCCGACCGAAACAAACGGCACTGTCAAGGCATAGCCCTACGACACCTATTTCTCCATGTACTGCAACTGAAGATTATGATATGTTTTCAGGTACTAGAAATTCTAGTGTTGAAGAAGTAATGTCCGCTTAGCTGCAATTTTTGTTAGGAACTTTTACTACGGCAAAACTGCGGTGACAAAGAGACACGACACTCGCAGTAAATGAAAGCTATTCACTTACTTGAGAATCTCTGTCCGCACCGGTACAATAGCGTCCTCAAATTCAAACGGTCCGAGGACGATTGGCCTGAGGTGCGCACTGCGTGTCCCACTGAAGCAACTGTTGCAACTAAGAAATAATGACAAAGGTTTCCGACCACCATGTCACCTCTACCTAGAAAGAGAGGCAGGACACAACAGAAATAATGGGAAAGGGCTCTCTAAAGCACCTTATTTCACCATCTAACTCCTACAAACGAAACCACCTTAACCCGAATCGGCCATGCTCTCCAGGGGGAAAAAAACCAAACGCTCACACAAACACAAAACCAAAAAAATCCCAACTAAACAAACAAAATACACAAAACAAACCGAAACAAAAACAAACAAACACTTAACAAAAATAGGCTGATTTTCGATAGCTTTACCTCTGTCGGTGCGACATCGGCTCCGCCGCAACTGATATCACCGCTACACCGCCGCGAGCAGAGGCGTCTGTGATCGGCTCAAAAACATCCCCTTTAAAGCACCGTTGTTTGAGACCGGAAAAAAAGGTCTGACCGGGACTTCCAGTCCTGTCGAATACCCGCACCCCCGCCCGCACCAGCTTGCCCGTAGCTTCCCGCCGCCTGCCGCCACCGCCGCAGCTCCGAGCTGCCGACAGACAATGAGCCGCTTTCAGACGTGGCCGAGGCGCCGCGGCAGCGGGAGGGGCCCGGGAAGGAGCGAATCCGCCCCACTCCCACAGCATCCCCGAGCAAAGGCGCAGCCTGGCAGAGGCGGTCCGCTGGCCTGCCCCCGCCCAGCACCGGCCACCCGGCGCCCGACCGATCGAGTGCGATCGGCCCGACGGGGCAGCGATGCCCGCTCCGCAGCCAGCAAGGATCACCCTGCGAGCTCCCGGCACGCAGAGTCCCGGCTGGCTCGCCGAGCGCGGCTCGTGGCTGCACCGCCCGGCCTCCGCAGCTGCCAGCACCCCGCCGCCTCTCCTCCGCGGGGTATCGCGTGCTTCGGGCCGCCCCCTCCCCCGGCCTCCTCCTCCTCCTCCCTTCGCTCCTGCCCAGCGGTCCCCACGCGCACAAACCTCGGCCGCGGCCGCATCCCGCTCGCCTCACGCGGGTAGAATCAGAGGGTCATGGCCTCTGCGAACGGACTGCCCGGTGAGTTGACGAGCGACGAGGTGGTTTATTTTGTCCTAGTGCCACCTCTCAAAAAAGACTCCTGAAACATGGCGCTTACACGGCCATATTCCCACATCAATTTATGCATAGGACTTTTAACTTAAAGCTGTTTTCTTTTTCCTTCTTACTAAACCTTTATTGACCTAGCAAGCCACCGTGTCTTTCTTCATGAAGAGCATTTAGATAGCTCTGTCCTGTATACACAGAAGATCTATGTAGTAGCACTGCGGTGCGTGGCAGCAGTTTTTGGGATTTTTGGTTGCTTGGCAAACTAAAGCAAGAATCCTTGCAGATAGCTTCCTGAGAAAGGCTTTTCCTTCCCAAACCTCTTTTAATGCTAGTTGCAGTGGATCCACAGGTCTATTTTTTCCCCATGTAGTTTACTGCTTAAGCTATAAAATCTTGCCTAACCTTTTTCTATGGCTTGCCTACTTACAGAAATACAATGTCTCTTCAAGCTTGAGAAAGGAGTCAGAACTATGAACCAAGAGCTATGTTTAGTAAAAAAATTGATCCAGGAAGTTAATGCAGCAGAGGTATCACAGGGTTTTTTCCCCTTCTCTGGTCACATCTGCCTTTGCGGCTTCTTTTACCCTGCATTTGGTCATTAGTCCTGATCATGAAATACCTCTTTTCAAAAGAAATGGAGGAATGGCTTCAGGTCATACCAAACAATTACATGCCACCTGCAAAATAAATAACTCTTTTAACAYATACAGTTCTTTGCTTAAGTTACTGTGGACAATATTTGCCTGCTTTCACATAAAGGTAAAGAGAATGTGACGGGTATTTTTCCCTGTATTTCCCGAACTAGACCTAATCTCCAATTCTTAGTTCACATGCATTCACTGAACTGTTGCTTGGAGAAGCATCACTGKTCATAATTTAATGTGAAAGCCTACAATAGGAAAGTGAGATAGGGATTAAAGGAGTCCCCCGATTCTGTGGCCTTCTAGCATTAGTCTCTTCCATGCTCCTGTCGCTGCCTTAAACAGACTTCTGTTCAGCTTGGAGGAAAACGGTTACACATTCCACTTTGGTGGGAGTAGAATATTCAAACCCTTAAACTGTGGTTCTGTGGTCTCTCCAGAGATTTTTTACCCCTTGCTTATTAGGCCCCCTTAATGCTTGTGTAGACACATATCAAGTTCAGTCACAGAACTTACTTGTCTGAAAAACTGATTTTATATTTGGTAAAGATCATCTTCACCAGAATGAACTCCCCAAATTAACTCACGCAAGCGCTGTCACTGCTGCAAGGGAGAAAGGCTGGAACTACGGCACACCAAATAGATGTCAGCTTGAGATACAAGGTTGGGGAAACAAGCTCACGGGCCCCTTTGCTCACGCTCTAAAAGCAGTAGACGGTTACTTTGACTCTGAAGATTCCGATATGAAGCCAGTTATCAGTAGTCCTATGCTGACGCATAGAGACTTCAAAGATGCAAGAGCAAAGTGGAGACTTCTGGGAAAGGTAGCTCTCCCCACTGCCGGGATGCCAAATTCTAGAGGACGACGGCCAAATGGTGGTGTAGTGCTGCACAAGTTGCTCTTTTGTATTTCATAACTGCACCGTGTCTTAAGAGTTCCAGACAACCAAAGACACTTAGAATTTACTGCAGAATTCTAGTATTTAGAATTATTTTACATTCCATCCTGCCACAACATTGCTTTGCTACAATTAATTCTTTAATGCAGAAAGTGAAAATATAATGGACATTTTGTTGTTTTCTCTTGTGAGCTTTATTGGCATAAATGTAAGCCCAGAAAGAGAAAATCAAATAATCTTCCCTACTACCACTGACATCGAGAATGAGGGATACAGTCTTTCAATGTGTACCAGCTGATTACACTTTTTAACCGTTCTAAGCTGTTTAAGTTCTAAAAGTAATTATTCACTTGCTTTGAATCTCTGAGGCTTCTCTGGTACTACATTTTCTAGTTTTCTTCAAATAAATACGAGGATTCTCCGTTTTACTATTCACAGTTTAAATRGTCTAGCGCTACGGTAACAATGCCGGTAGTAAATGTTTGTGCAAACTTTGCGCACGCTATCGCCCACAACCCAGTTTCTCACATCAACCTTGAATTTATTCATCGTCCAATTTAAGAATTCAATTGCTGAGTATGTATAGCCACAATTACAGAAGTGCATCTCTGACCTTAACTCATCCATGCATTTTTTCACTTTTCTTTTTCATTTCATAGTGCACATAGATGCATGTACAAATAACTCTTCACTGAACTCTAAGRCTGCAGTGAAGTAATTTACAAGTAGTAAAAAGAGTTAATGTTTTTACTTTTAGCATATTATTTCCAGTTTTCAAGGTGGTTTTCGGAGCACGTTCCCGACGCAAAAAAATAGTTAGGCTTTTCTTTAGCTGTCAAAAATATAATTTTCTTCTGTCCCAAAGCAGTGTTGCAAAAGAAATTAGATGAATGAACATGTGTTTTAAAAAGGAAGCATGAACAGAACATATCTGGAACAAATGTACAAAATTCTGATACTCCAAAGCAAGAATAGAACATAAAACTATAGAGAATAAAAGAGAATATAGAGAGAATAAAGAATAAAGTCACGTAACTGTTTTCGAACTGCATTTCTATAAAGCATTCTCAGACTTCTCCTCAAGACTGGTGCTGTTTGTAGGACAGTACTGGAGATAGCGGGAGAACTGGTGAKACTGGAATCGTAGTCAACACCTGATTCTGGAACAAAAACATCTTAATCCTACCAAACACCCAAAGRAAGACAAGGAGGATGCTGACATACTGGATCCAGGCAAATTTTATGATTTCCCAAAATCCCGGCTGATATTTAAAGAAAGTCAAGGAATGTTAATGAAGAAGCTTCTGATGCTACCACTGCAGTAAGTAATCAAAGGAACTCAGAGGCAGAAATGCACAAAACTTGTTAAGACATCAGATCGTCTCACAAATGCTAAGCCTCCGAACCTTAGAAAGAACTAAAAGCCTTCCACCGTGGTAGGTAAACAAAAGCTGGAGAGAATGTCTGTCCTAAAAGACATTTAAACCGCTTCTGGGTAAAGTACCTACTTTGTGCCTGAGTCATCAGAAAGGAGTTATTGCTAATATTCAGGAAGGTAAACAAATCTTGTAAAAAATCTCCATACAGATTCTTCTAAATGCAGGCTTGTCTAAGAAACAGAGCAAAGAATATAAAGATGAAAGAATTCTTTTGTTTAAAAACAAATCTGGTCTGCCTGCACATGGAACAAATGTAATGTTACCACCTCCCAGYGTGGGAGTTATTTGGCGAGATGATCTCAAATACAGCTTTCTAAGGATTTGCTTTAGGACACAGACAACAGTATCATGCTTTGATAGTGGCATCCGTGACAGATTGAGACAGCAAGTAGTGCAGAAGCAAAGCAAGATGTACTAAGAATATTCCCAGAAAATAATTAAGAAACTGCCTTTAAAGGCCTTTGAACTAAAGTTGAAAAGTAACACGGGTTCCCAGTAAAGAAAGGCAAAAAGTGCTAGCAGAACCATTTGGAGGAATGGACAAATACATAGTTCATTCACTCCAACACTGTAGCATTTGTTTAGCTAACGAAGAGAAAGTTTAGTAATGCGTCTAGGAAAAAAACAGTTTTCATCTGGCCTGTATGTGGTGGAGGCTGAAATAATGCAACGCTCTTATGTCACAGTTAATGCAGTTTTCAAAGGATATAAGATAACTTCCACTGGGTAATGAATGGTGGCATTAACGATAAATGGCGTATCTGTTGTTTTTCCAGTCATCCAAACAGGGGTGGGATCTGAAAAGACTGTTGTCACTAAAATAGAGAAAAGAAACATCCAGATGACGGGGCTGATAGGTATTAATACAGAAACCTACCTCACAAAACAACTGCCAGTGTGCTAACTACTGCTGTCCTGTACTTCACAGCTACACATTCAAGCTTACCATTTCTATCCCAATAAGCTGCAATGATGCTTGCTAGATCATAGTCACTTGCAAAAGGACTTGTGCCATTGACCACAGACACCTGTTACGACAAGGAGACACACTTTAATTATTTGTCCGGTCTTCAACACAGTAATTCTACTGAGTTTCTTASACAAAGCAACCATGCCTTTCAAGGAATGCACATAAACATCAGACTGAACATCTTGACAGAATAACTGCTTCCCTGTTTTAGCTTAACAAAAACCCACCTGTTCCAAGTCTTATAGTTAACTCTCTGCAGGAGTACAAATAATTAAGATGTCACCTATGATACTAGGAGGATTAAGAGGGTGTGTCTGTATGCGGGAATCGATGGGGAAGGAAAAAATGTTTTCTTACATTGTATCTGGTATCCAGGCCACAATGGTTAAGTAATTGCCTCTGATTCAATTTCAGGTCTCCATTCACACTGAGCTGAGACCCTGGCACGGGAGAAAAAAACTGAAGAAAAGCCATGCTCTGCATCACAAATGTTGACATTCGCTGAAATTGTGAACACAAAAAATGACACTTTAGGGGGAGGAAGGGCTACACAACACACTTTTCTACCTCTTTGTGCCAACAAATTTTCCTACACGGATTTTTCTATGACTACCAAATTTCAGATCATCATACCAGTCTCAACAAGGAAACACTATATAAAAACGACCTTTTTTTTTTTTTTTTTTTTTTTTTTTTTTTTTTTAACAAAGAACTACCTTAGTTATTGGTTAACTAACTTTATTAACTAAACTAACTTCCTCAGGAAATCCAATGAAGTCTAACAGTCTGTGACTAATGACAGAAAGATTTGACTAGCCATAACAGGTAAAAAGCAGCAACATGACTAAATACAGTCACTGGAGACACACTTAAAAAAAAAAAGAGCAATCAAAATCAAGGTCTTGTACTCTGCAACAAGGACCACATAAAGAAGGCGGATCCTTAGTTCTTCTATCAACCACTCAATCTGAAGGAAAGATTTCACATTTACATTGGAATAAAAGTGTAGTGAATATCGAAACTCTCTGTGATACTAACATGTGACCAAATAGTTCAGCCCAAATTTAGGACTCCTGGGCTTTTATTCTGGGCCTCAGGCTTAAGTATGTTTTTTATACCACACAGCTATGCTTGCTAAGCTTGTYGATCAGCAATCAGCAAGACTCTCTTGGAGAAACTATGCCTAATCTCCTTTCACAACTGCATCCAATGCAACTCTGTATTATTGCTCCTTTCAGCTGTATGCCTAGGTTCTCTGCGCACTGGTATTTTACCTTTCTGTCTTAGGTATTAACTGCACTGCCACTTGAGGTACAATGGCAGCAAAATTGTGATGTCTTGTCTTCTTATAACACTTTCTTCCTGGTCCCAATTACAAGATACAGAAGGTCTCRGCAGATGACTGCCGACGCTTCAATAGCTCTTAAGCAAAATCTGTGGAGTTTTAGGCTGCTGCAAGAGCCTGACTCTCCACCTCAGAAAACAAACTGGCTATGTCAAGACACAGTACTCTGTGGAATGCACATTACTCTGCCTCTTGCAAGTGTCTTAGTTATGTCCAGGTGCCACTCACACTGATACTCACTGCTGTGCATTTCTGTACTGTATGCTGCACTACAGCACAAAAGAATAGAGCTTAGAATTTTACTTTTAAAAAAAAATTTTAGTGTATCAAGATACACATGAGAGCTAGACTAGGAATGACATCTTAGCAGAGGAGGAGAAAATTAAGTATTGGTTAGTAAAATAAATATTTTAGAGAGGACTTTCAGGTGTGGAAAGCTTCTTTTCATGCTTCATATAACCACTACTGGAATATTACAATAGGTCTGCATGCCACAACAAACAGAACTAAAAATGCTCACATAAAGCCGGTAGGAAAAAAGTAGAATCAGCTGAACGCCAACTACACGCTCTGTAGGTTGTAGTGGAAGTTCCAGCTTAAAATGCAACCGATCCATTTTGCCATCTTGATTTTTGTCTTCTTCTCTCGTCTAAAAGATGTGTTTTTAAAGACAGGAATTTCTATTAGAATGAAAAAACAGAGATAAAACCCCAGGGGACCTCCACGATTGCAGCATGCAAACACCAAGGAAGCAAATAAACTGCAGAGTTAGGAATGCAATAAAAAGATGCTTGACTATTTAAAGACAGAGAACTAGAAACAAACAAGAAGCCTGCACTGTTGTCTGTTACACAATGTCTGATAGGCCCTTCCAGGGAGGGTAAGTTTATTTCAAGGTCTTTTCTCCCCTACACCATTCCAACTGTCTCCCCTCCACGCCACAAAGCATGCCTTACTGCTGGATCTTCTGTAAGACACGGTGGATATAGATCACTGATGATCAGGCTTGTGCCTCCTGCCACCGTAGCACGCCTCTTAATGGCCTCTGTATGCTGATTCCTGGCTGTGAGCCACGGCTTGCCATGTTTCTGTGCCAGAATCTTCAGAACTTCAGTTATGTGCAACTGTAGCAGGGTATACTGCCTCGTACAGAGGCAGACAGAAAAAAAACACTGCCGCTGTGGAATGCCTGAAAGAATAATGACTGCAAAGCAGAGCTTATGTACTTCTGAAAGCACGTATCTGCTTCCAAAACCTAGCGACCCCTGGAAACTTCCCATCACAATAAGCCTTGTAGCCAAAGGGGCACAACTAATTTGATGAAAGTAAATTGATGTGCTCACACGAACCACCAGCGGCGCTTACTGACATGGTTCAGTGGCTAAATTGGTAGAGTTTGGTTAATGGTTGGACTTGACCTTAAGGGCTATTTGCACTCTAAGTAACGGTACAATTCAGTTACACCGAGAGGGAGTAAAACGGGACTCGTTAACGATCCAGCAAATCCCGATGTGGGACACAAGGTTACGCATAAAGCTGCTGCTACCTGAAGGCAGCAGTGCCTGACAGGCCACCCGCTCGAAAACGCCGTCAGCATTCGTGCGCTGAGCCGGCTGCCCGTCAGCTGGCCCCACTCTACAGACTCGCTTCTCGCCACTGCAGCCGGGCCGCCGCGGGCAGGCCTACCGACACGAGTGGGACTCGGAGCCGGTCCTCCTGGAGCCTGTTGAACGCTGGAAACGTGCTCCACGCCAAGAAGCTGCCCGGGCCGGACTCGATGGTGGCGACGAAGAGAACCTCGTACCGGAAACGCACAGTGGGCTGCTCCAGGTACGCGTTCTGCTTCAGCCAGAAACCTGAGGGCAGAAACAGCACGAGGTTTCAGGACCGCGCCGGGCCTGGCCGCGCCGCGTGGGATCGAGCGGCGCTCACCGTGGCTCCGGTAGGCCACCAGCAGCGGCGGCACATAGGTGAGCACCGTGATGAGCAACAACGCCAGTGCCGCGGCGGAGCAGAGCCCAGCACGGTAGCGCGTGTAGAGCGCGGGATGCGAGAACAGATCCACGCCAACCATGGCGACCGGCCCGCAGCGCCCGACGGCACGGCACGGCACGGCACGGCACGGCACGGCGCGGCACGGCGCGGCGCGGCGCGGCACGGCACCCGCCCACCGCCGCCTCTGACTTCAGCATTGCCCTGCCCTGGCGGAGCGTCGGATTGACGGGATGACGCGCCAATCAGCGCCGAGGCAACGGGGACAGCAGCCAATGAACTCGCACCGCTGCCACCACGAGCCGCCGGCCGCGGTGAGGAGAGATAGCGCCCGGCAGCGGGATGGGGACAGACGGATGCGGACACCTGTTGGGGCAGCGAAGCCGATGGCTGGCGCGGCTTCCCGTGCCCCGGACGCATTGCGGGCAGGGACGACGGCGGCCTCGCACTCGGCAGGTGACCCCGTGCCCGGATGCCATGGCCCCGCCCCGCGATCCCTGGCCGGAAGCGCGGCTGCTCAAGCGGTTGCCGGGGAACAGGCGAGCCGGAAGTCCCGCCTGCCGAGCCGCTGCTGTTGTTGTGACAAGGATCGTGACAACGACAGGCCCGGCACGAGCCCCCGCCCCCCGCACACGGGCCTCGCCGCCTCCGGCTCCGTTCCTCGCCCACCCGCGCCATGAAGTGGATGTTCAAGGAGGACCACGCGCTGGGTAAGGGTGGGCTTGGGCCAGGCGCTGCCTGGCAGTGGCCCCGCCGCTCTCAGCCTCCCGTGTCGCCATCTGTCCCGGTCGGCTCCCCCAGGCGGTTGTCTTGTGTGTGGGCGGGTAGCCGGCTCTCGCCGAAGGGTGGTGCGATGTCCGGGGACGTTTTCCCCGAAAAGCCTGAGACCCCCTCGAAGGCGGGGATATGATCGCGATCCCCGCAGGTTCTGCTGCCCTTTCGGCCTAGAACACCGGCAGTACTATTACTATGCAGTGAGTAATTGTTTTGTTTACAGAGCACAGATGTGTCGAGTCGGCAAAAATCCGAGCCAAATATCCCGATCGTGTCCCGGTGAGTAACCGAGCCGGCTTCAACGGAGCACTTAGAGGCAAAGGTGGATGAACTGTTTCCATCCTGCCCGATCTCATGAGTTCCGAATAAGTAAATTCATGTTCTTGTTTGTGTCCTTAGGTGTTTTAAAGCCCCGAACACATCTAACTACTCCAGCGTTTCCTCCTCTGCCCCAGTGGTTATTGACAAATAAGCTTTCCAAACAATTCCCAGGCATTTTTATGATTTATCGTGGTCCTGCTTTCTTCTAATGGCAGCTGCAACCCAGCAAACACCCTCATAGTCTTGAAAATTGTGCCTGATCCTTAAAATGATGATGAATTCATGAAACCTTGACCATCTTCCATTCTGGCTATATGAGTTAAATGATAACACTCATGTACTCGATGCCGATGATAACCAGTCATCGTGGGTGAATCTCCCCATGCAAACTCTGTTGTTGGACATGCCAATGCAAGTGGTGACCCCTCCTTTCTGTATAATACCTACCAATCTACTAGTGAATGACCTCTCTTCTTCTCTGCACAATCCCTTTTACCGTGTTTCAGTCTGAAAAGACCACACTTCACATCCTTATGTCACAGCTAGCAGCATGTCCACATTCTCAACTTACTTGCTTGAGTGTAAAATTTCCCACATCCCATCTGACCACATGCTCATTAGTAAGCAAGCCTTTTGATAAGTAACTTCTGTACTAGCACAGCCCAGAGAAGAGTCTTTATTACAGTTGACTTTTCTGCTGCTCAGTTGCACCTACTCACAGGATTTTCTCTAGTTGCAGTCTGGCAAGATGATAGAATCCTTGCTGTTCTCTCTAATGTCAGTTCAGCAGAATACAAAGCTAGCCTCACCGGTACCAGTACAGAGGAAGGATACCTCCCAATCCTTTGCCTACTGCAAAGGACACCGTTAGCCTTACTTGCAGCCAGGGCCACGGTTCCTTTTCAACTTTGGGTCCATATTGCAATAATTTCATGTCACCGTTGTACAAAAAGTTAAATGATGTGCATGCTTTCCTGTCACAGGTTTCTTTAAGGCATAACGCATCTTTTTACCCCACGACTGCCAAACCCAGGGATAGGAAGCTTTGAGCCACTGGGTATACGAATGTAGGTTTCAGCACAGCTGTAAAATCAGGTTTTACAGTGCTGACGCAGTTCTACCTCTCATTTGGTCGCAGTCAGGAAGCCTTTTTGTTCATCCCCTCTGCTCACTGTTGTAAGCCTGTATGAGCAAGCGATCTAGCAAAGCTATCTGTTCATACCAATCCTGAACAGCCTGATCTTCACACCTGCACTTTACAGGTCATAGTGGAGAAGGTCTCAGGATCTCAGATTGTTGATATTGACAAGAGAAAGTACTTAGTTCCGTCTGACATCACCGTGGCCCAGTTCATGTGGATCATCAGGAAGAGGATTCAACTCCCATCCGAGAAGGCAATATTCCTCTTTGTAGACAAGACTGTTCCACAATCCAGGTGAGAGGATATTCGCTTGGTATTCAGAACCATTTCAGCAAGCCTGTGCACATTAGAGGGTCAGTAATGCCACTCTTCGAGGCCGATTTGGCGATTTAATGTGTTTGTCACTTATTAATGTCACTGAAAGGTATTTTCCTCGTGAGTTTGATAACATCTTATTTTTTGAGCTAGGCTGCAAGGTGACTGAAAAATAGACTATTATTTCCTTCCGTGGTAAAAGGGCGAGCTTTGCAGCTGTGATGTTCTCGCATTTGGTTGAGTGCAAGAACACGTACATTGCCAGTGTAAAAAAAAAATTATTCTCAGTTTAATAAAAAAGTTGCACATTAAACATTCAATAGCAAATGCCATAAATTATTCTGAAAAAAAAATCTAAAACAACCTATCAGCTTACAAAGAAATTTTAAGATTACAGACTAGTTGGTGGATTTTTTAAAAAATTATTTTCTTCTATTAAAGAAAAACCATAATTGCTTTAGAAAGCTTTTTCATACTACTTTTATAGAGGAAATAATTTGTTTTCTGCTAAGTATAGAATGTAGCAGAAGCAGCTACTACGACTTTCTACACAAAATACTTATAATAACATTTAAGGAAATAGGATGTCATGTCATTGCGTGACTTAGTACTCTGCAGGGAGTCCAGGCTCATTTTTGTAACTCGGGAGTCAGCTGCTTTTCATATCTCATTTTTTTTTTCTTTTATTTTAATCTATACACAGGTTTACAAGTTTTGGTTTTKATTAATCCTTGTTTATATGAGGTTCTGTTAACACTGGCAACTCGCATGAGCCAAGCAAACTGCTTCTCTTTTTTTCCCCCTTCAAGCTTAACTATGGGACAGCTTTATGAGAAGGAAAAGGATGAGGATGGATTCTTGTACGTTGCCTACAGTGGAGAGAACACATTTGGTTTCTGAATGGTGGGTCTTGGCCGCTGTACCATCCTGCTGTGTATCTTGTAAATAGCTGATCATTTTCTGTTCTGACATCCACAGAAGTTCCTTCTATGTACATGCATTTGTAACTGGATTTATTTCTTAATATATTGATAGGTCTTGTTTTATTAGACTGTTAAATTATATGAAGAGAGTTTTGTTGGGTTTGTGCATTTTTCTTTCTCATGGCTATGAATTCCCAGAGCCTCAGTTCTTTGGGGGATACAGCTGATGGCATTGATTAAATAATAGATCAAAGTCATTGGGCTACTAAAACATGAAGAGAAGAACACACATTTATTCTGTTTTGAAGTGTTAGTTCAAGAAAAATAAAACCAATAAGTTAGTGTTGGGAACACTACTGGTTGGGATTTGCTAGCTTATCCAGAGCAGGAGCAAGATGATCGTGTTGACTTGAGCTAGTATTTTCCTCTTTCTCAATTAACGAACAGGTACAATAAAAATTCTTATCGCAGACTAGCAGTACCGTCATTTCTTTACCCTCATTTTGGCCAGGAGGTTACGCATCATATTTACTAGACACTACACAGCTGCTTAAATTACTTACTAGACGTTGAACAGGTTCTCAAATTTTGCTGTGTGGCTGATGATAGAAGGAAGAAACACGGAGCTCTTTGTAGGTTTCAAAGCCACTAGTTTCAGAGCTAACGTATCTCACAGCTACTATATTACACAGCTACTTCTGCTTACAGGCAAAGAGGCAAATCTGTAGATTGAGTGGGAGAGGGTGGAAAAACACCTAACTGACCTAACTGCACAGTGCTGGAGTTCACACTCCGATGTTAAAGGGTAATGCAGGGTTGAAAAGGTAGCATCACTTCGACCTTCCTAAGCCAGCAAGGAAACACCGAATACAGTTAGTTTAGATTCCTGATAAAAGTTTCACTTCATTTTCACCCTCTGTGGTGCCTAAGATTTTAGTGCAAAATTCATCACTTTCCATACTCAAATTCATACTAACTCAGACTCCCATGAAGATAACATTATGCCTGGAATTGTTTCCCTCTGCAGTCATTCGCAAGTATTGACAGAAGGTAGGAGCCAATGTTGACCCTACCCTATTACTGAGGCTTGTCATGGTAACTGCATGTGCTTACTGCATCTGAAAATGCACTGTTGATCTCACTAAGCCTTTCATTACTCAGAATAGCACTGCATTGTATAGCACTACTTTAGGAAACATTCCATCACTGCTTCCATCCTGAATTCCTTTTAACCCCCTTTCTACACATTAGTGTTTACTCATAACAGATTTTTTGATTAAGATTTAAGAAGGAGATTTCATCTGTGATTTTTTAAATTACTGTTTATTACTGGAAAATGTTCTGAAGTTTCAGCAAAAAGGAAACAGAGTTTTTTCTACAGGTACCAATATTTTTTCTTAGCTGGTAACAGGAGAGTAAGAAACATAACTTTAAAATGCTAGATAAATTAATTGCATGCTAGCAAATAGCTGTATCTAAAAGCAAGGGAAGTTGTTATGGTTGAGGTGACTCTTGGATTACCCTTTGTAAGTCCGTAAAAACCCCATGTAACTCCTGTCTTTAACATCTCTGTATTTATTAGTGTAGATTTAGGAGCCCAGACATGTAARTAATTCCAGAGAATGTATGGATAAATATTGTGCAGCAGTAACTTTACTTTTCATCGGCAGATGCACTTAAAATGGCAACAAAACATCAAGAGGTTTCCTCTTGAAATACATAGATGAAATGCATCCCTTTAGACAGTACACTCTTGTAAAATTTTAAAAAGCATTTGATCCCATATGATCTTCATTTTCTGTTAACCCTTCCATTTATGCACTGAACAAAAAATGTAGAAATACCTCACTATTCTTGCAGCAACATGTCACCTATCTTGAAGCCAAACTGAAATGTCATCTCCAGTATAACTAAACCATTAGTACTGGATGACTTTAGTTATCAGTAAATATTTAGTATTCAGGCCAAATTGAGACCATTTAGATGGTTTTTCCTCCAAGATTATCTTGCTTCTACCTGTATTTATTATGTATGTATGTTAATATGTATGTATTATGTAACTCTCATTGTTGAAGCCGTCTTATGAAATTATCAGATACTCTGAGAGAAAGAACTCAAATACCTTTCTTTCCTCCTTGCCAACAGAATTCTCCTGCCCTCGGCAGCATAGCCCTAGCTGTTCCTTTCCTCCAGTGCTTACTCACAGGTCATTTAACTGCTAGTGAAAGGCTGCACCTTTTGGAGTCACGGTTTGTTTTTCTACAAATATAGTAATTTCAACAGTCCTCAGTTTACTCAGAAGGTACTGAGATCAGTAAGCCTTCCAGCCTGTCTTAAGGTGGAAGCACACTGGTGAAGCACACTGGTGAAAGTCAAAACYTTGCTTTTCCAAAGATGAAATTCCAAAGTGGGATGCTGGCATCTTGTCTCATGGCACTGCAGCCTCAAGGTCAAACAGATTGATTACTCCAACCCTTGGACAAAAACACTTGTTTCTATGCTCTGGTATTGACCTCCTAAATGATAAGCAGGCAGTCTGTCCTGCCTTCTTACTATGATTGAAAACAGAACTACATCTCCAATAGTGAGACATCCATCCCACTCAATGATTACAGTTTCTTTGTCCTGGCAATTTGGGGGCAGTGGTTCCCAAACAAGTTTGGGCAAGGAAGGACCTATCTGGTAATACGTATGTGCTCATTTTACACGTGGTGGGAATCTTGATGCCTTCCTATGCTCTGCTCCCACTACCAATTGTTTGCTTGTCCTCATTAACCATGAACTGCAGGAACTTCATTCTTACGACTCGTGTTCCTGCTAACTCTGCTTTCCTGTGGCAGGGTCTGCATTCTGCTGTCCTCTCCATGCCTTGCCAATATTTGTTTCTCAGGATGTCAGCTATCCCAGTACAAAAAAGTGATGCAAGCTTGGAACATGTCAACCGTTACTTTCCAGGAACAAATCTTCCAAAGACCTGCTGACAATGATCAAAATTTAGTTTGCTACCGCTTACAAAAGAAAAGACTCTTCTGTCCTATCTCTGCATTTTTCCCTTCTGATTTTTAAGAGTTTCAATTTCATGGTACTGCCTGCAGCATTTCCTGACATTCTGGAATTAAACAGATGCAGCATTTAAGTACTGATTTTCCATCACTGAAATGCCATCCAGTTGAGTATGAGGTCCTTCAGGCCTAGTCCCTCAGCCTTTTATGGTTTTTTTGATGGTTTTCTTCCAGCTCCTTCCCTCTCTTTTCATATTCATTGATTTGCTCTAGGCTTAAGTATGTCCTCCACTCTATCCAAAAAGTGAGGTTAGCATCAGCGTTCAGCAACTCAAAAACTAATTTTAAACCTGACAAGTAACAGAAAAGAATCAGTCTACAGTTCATAAGTATTTCACAAATGCACAAAAAATCTCACAACAAATAATCCTAACGGCCAAGCTCAAATTTTAAAAAGAGTTTAAAAAAATTTGACCCATATAACTGCTCATCTCAAAACTACTCTGATGGCAAGACTTCAGAACTAGTCTTACATAAACCATTTTAATATTGCAGCTGGATAGGAAATGGGAACATTCCACTCCGGTCAGCAGGTTCACTGCAGACATGGAAGCTAGGTAGGGTAAGTCAATAGTTTCTGCATTATTTCAGGGAAGAACGTAAGTAAATTTCAGGAACCTCAACATCTACTGGTAAGCTGTTTAGGTACGCTACAGAACTCTATCCTTAGAATGCTACTTGCTTGTGGAGAACCTGCCTAAAAGCTGGCTACGCGATAAGGGACGATAAGGGACGTGGACTACTCTGGAATTGCCCGACCTCAGTATAGCTAAAAGGCGCTAACAGCCGTCKGCTGCGAGTGGTACCTGCAGCAGAAAGTTACAAGAGGTCTTTTGTATTCCCCCCAGACATAATGGGGCTAGCTTGAGAGGCTAACTGGCAAAGTTGCCATAAAGGCATTGTTTCTAAAGTAGCCTATAAGGAGCTCAGTTTTTGTAATATCTATGAGGTTGATTACTGTTAGCGAACATGGGCATAAAAGCTGTGGTTACTGAGGGAATAAACGAGTTCTGCAGATCATCTCGGTGGTCGTATGCGTTTCTCCCGCCGCTCGACAAATGGTTAACTCCGACACTTGCTCTATTAGAGTAACTGCTACCATTTATCTTCAACAGTACACCCTGCAGCCCATGTGCAGAATGGTTTATCCTCTGATGACTAAGGCAAATCACTAATCTCCAAAATCCCATGCCCTCTATGAACACATACAGTGACTTCCCCCTCACCGATACAACTGGCCTTTCTGCATGTTAGTGCTGGATTTGACAGAATGGGCATACACACACAGAATTCAAGTTATTTGTTATYTCTTCAACAAGTAAAAGAGAACTATCCTTACTTGACAAGTTAACCTAGGTGTGAAGTAAAAGGATTTGCTGTTACCAATTCTCAAACTGTAATGCGATGTGTACCATTTGGTCCCACATACCAGCTCAGCAGGTGGACCACCAACGCCGTTAGGAGATCTGCTGCACCTATTTTTCACATCCAAAATTATAGGATACCAAAGGGAAAAAAAATTCAAACCACTAAAGAATTCTTAAGTTCTAAATTATCCACTTCATTCTGCAACTGCCTTGTCCGGATATTTTATGAATGTGGTTTACAAGAGAAAAATACAAAAGGGGAGTGTGCTCAATAGAAGTTACACAGTCCTGAAATTGCTCACGAAAGGCAATAACTGGGACAGAAAGTTTAAGGAGGATTACACACTGCTCCCTCCACAACTGCTCACAATGCTGATTGTTTTGCCATGCAGATGTTAGCTGGTAAAGTAGCATAAGGACTAGAGACTAGAGGAGACATGACAGAGACTACTTTCAGTACTCCCCAAATTTCCACCTTTGCCAGGCTATTAATGAACACGGGGAACAGTGACGTAAATGGCTGAGGCATTTCTGCTTTTAATTGACCATTCCCACAGCGGGGCAGGGCGATGAAGAGCGCCTGAAACACTGAAAAGCAGGTCAATGTTTGCCTCTAATTACACAGGAATGGCCAATTCGAACCAGGTAGTTCAGGAGATTTCTTTCCTCTCTGTAGAAACAAAGCAGTTGAAGGGTTATCTGTCAAAAGTCCTGAAATTGAGATGCACACAATATCATTAAGTGGTATTATTTGACACAGACTCCTCCCCAGTGCTTTTGCTTCTGCTGTGGCGATATCTGTGGCTATATTTACTAAATAGCAGTGTAAATAAAGGATTCCTAGAAAAAAATGACTCTTTAACAGAACTAGTATTTCCAATTAGCAGCAATGGGGTTGGGGGGGACAGAAAACTCTTCCGGGCTCAAGAGTTATAAAAGTATTACTTACTACACATTAGGGGTGTCCCAGCAACAGAAAAACAACCACATTATGAGAAGAGGAAGAAAAAAGCAGCACTACCATTTTACTACAATGATGGCCTGTCTTCCATGGCACTGCTTCAATTTCAGTTGACATAACTTGTGCAGCAATGACTATGGCTGATAGATCATATCCTCAGGTATCGGGATAGCACATCACTGCTTCCTTTCTTTTGGAGGCATATTGTTTCATGCAGTTCAGAATTTTAAGTCAGCAATGATATTTTTCCACATTGCCATAAGAAGGGGGCTGCAACTCAACCAAAGTAAGTAAGTACTCTCTAATTGCTCTCGTTTTCACTCCTGTCTCTTCACAGCGCATAAACTAGAGGGCATCTTTTCCTGGCCCTTGAACTGCAGAGGCATCTGCTGTGGACCACAGCTTATTTCTGGATTCACATAGTTACATGATTCTCATGTGAACTGCTGGTACTCCTTGGCGTTCTTGACCCAACCCAGCAGAGCTTGGCTACGCAACACTCTCCAGGCTTCCTGATAATTTAACGCAGCTTCCTTGTAGTCGCAGTAGGTTTTTAGAGTCTTCATCCTGATAGAAAACGCACAAACACGAAAACAATTCTATGACCCTATTGAATGTGAGGTCACAAAACAACAAAAAAAAAAAAAAAATCAAACATCTAAGAACCTGACGATGTCCTATGAGCTCTTTCATACTACTAAGTGAAATTCTCTTGTAGGAAAGCTTGGAAAGGCCCAGGCTCTGAGGCTAAACATTGGCACCAATCTTACAAAAGGAAGCAAAACAACTCTTCCAGCGTTAGAAATGTCTATGTTAGACTGTGTGACCACAGGTTACAGAAAAATTCCAAGAAAGCAAAAATTGCTAAAGCAAAGCTGAAAAGATGGCTAGGGGTGCCTCGAATTGGGTGGAAGTAGCCTTAGCTTGCTAGAAGACTGGCTGGAAGAAAAAAGGACAGAATGAGCTGGACAGCTTTTCTTTTCCAACACTAAATTAATGGAGAAGAATGAGACAAAGGAGAAAATAATCTTTTTTCTTTCCCTAAAGCAAGAGAGACTCAGCAGTTCTGGTGTTATTCCCCTTCCTCAAGAGGCACCTACTCCCCACAGTCTCAGCAGAACGACTGGTCGCTCTGCTAAGGGCGCTGTAACAATGATTTTCAAAATAGGGAAATTCAGGTCTATAGTATCTGAACACAAGTGCATCTAAGACCATTTCATCAAGATTTTTATTCCTTTCCTTGCATTCTGTTCTAAACCTCTTTCATCTCCCTTTGCCAAACATCTGTCAGCCACATGTGATATGCAATGTTTATACATTAAACCCAATACAAGATCATAGGCAACGTGACCTTCACCAAGAAAGAGGAAGGGCCAAATTACTACAGGAACCGTAATCTGAGAAGTCTGAGAACCACTGTACTAACTTCTAAAACAGGATTTCATGCTCAAAGGCAATTACAATCACTCATTACCCCTAAAAAACTATCTCCACAGCTCCACTGGAACAGCAGACCATCAGAAGCTCTGTTTGAGCATTCTGCTCAGCATTCTGCTATAAATTTATTTCGAAGTAAGCCATATTATCTCTCCTTAAAACCATCARATATATTCTCTCTTAAAAAACGCTTGCCATAGCCAATCCATTTTGCTTTCTCCACCTCTTTCATGTTAATCATACTCCAGGAAACAAACCTCTGAGCTACTCTGAAAAGTTCCATGGAGGGGCCCCACTAGAACTGTCCCCCACCTGGCCAGTGGAATGGTCAGAGAACCCCATCATCAGTACTGCATCATAGATTAGGAGCATCATTGAACAGGCAAAAGACCAGCAACTATCTGCATAAGCAGCATTCAGGAAATAACCAGGTCCCAGAAGGGTCCAAGTCAACCTACCACAGCTGGGTCCAAAACCTTAGCATAGGTAATCACTTCCTCTCCCAGCTACTCGTGTATCTCAAACACAGTACAAACCACCTTCACCTTCACCTCCCCTTCAACTGTTTTTCTTTTCTCCCTTGCTAAATTTTGCTCTTTTTTTGAATCTGCTCTGAAATCAATGGCTCATATCCATCAGTCTGATTCAATTTATACGGGATTTTTCTGACCTACATTAGTCTAATTGACCTTTGCTTGGAAACTCTTGTAACAGTAGACAGTAAGGAAAAATATAGCTAGGAAAGAAGCAGGAGCGGGTCAGGATGTTTGCCACGCTGTAGCAGCTACTCAAGCAGGTGACTGCAGCCTCTTGGTATTTCAGTCTTCATGCAGACGACATCAGTAATTTAACAGGGCATGCAACAGAAAGCAGTATTTTAAAGAGCTTCCTCAAGAAGCTGACCAAATTAAACAGATTTATTTAATTCATCCTCAATTTATGCATTAAGCTTCCAAGGAATATTCATCATATATATGGGGAAAATGCTTTCCAATTCCAAGTACCTTGCGTTTGCATATAAAACCTCATGTGGTTTGACTGTATCTCAGATTGGGCCACTAGGTTCTGAGCATTAGTAATGAAGAACCTGTGACCTTTTCTTGGCAGAAGCAAATACTAGCAAACACTACTTTGCTGCCCCAGGCAAAGTTCAATACAATCAGAGGATCCCCAGTGTATCCAGGTCTTCCTGACTGCATTTCTTGTGGTTTCTCTTCGCTATTTCAATCTTGCCCCTACACTACCGTGCAAGAGATTCTGACAGCTGCATGCCAGAGACATGAGAGGTGGGTCACAGACTTTATTCTGAAAACTATTGCACTCTTGGAAAACATCTTAGATCACCGTTATGCTTGAAAACACTCGTGCTCAACCATATGCAAAGCTGAGCAGGAACGAGTTCCCAAGCAAGGCAGCAAAGAAAAGCAATACATTGCAAACAGTATTTGCTTCTCACTAACGAACCCTGCTTTGAGCTCCAAATTTAGCTTCAAACATCTACATTCAACCCATAATGCACTTTTGAGATTTCAGATACATTTTACGTAACAAAATATTGACGTAAGCATAAGGAATCAATCAAAACATTGCTCACACAAATTAATGAATCAGATCTAAGAGAGCAATAGAGCACAGATCTTAATATAAAGATCCATTGTGAACCCATAATAAGAGGACCAAACTTGGGCTGATTACATTCTTCTATCTTTTCAATCCTGCAGATTAAAAGCAGTTATTGCAAGCAAACTGTAGCTGGCACCAACTGTGAAGAAGATACAGAGCAAGCCACAGAGTGAGCTAACTCAAAGTGTGACTCCACTCAAAATACAGCAAAAGTTAACAGTAATGTGAGGTTCTGCAGCATTTGGAAGATTGCTACTGCATTGCCATGTTCTAGCTTGGGAGACCAGATTTTGGAAACATTAGTGAAAAATTGGAAAATGAACTTTAGAGCTTTTTCCAGTGTCATCTAAGATATGGGAAAACTGAATCACACAAAGAAAAAGATGTTGAAACTCCACAAAGTAACTAAAAAAAAAAAATCAAGTCTTGAGATCATTATGGTGACAAAGTACTTTCATGCACTGAAAATGCCATTTTATGAAAGACTCTTCATTCTGGCAAAGACCTAACAAACATCTGGGATGTGCAATATATAAAAGACTTCCTTACATCAGAGGACCTAACTGTCCCACAGATCCCTATGCAGTGGTGGAATCGTCGCAGGAAGTATTAAATGCACAAACTTAATCAGAAAATTGAAAAGGGACTAGAAAACTGCAACAAAATTCTTGCCAACTGTGTCTACGTTATTTTGTGGTTGTTTTTAACTGGAAAACAGTAGTGAAACTGCAATACCAGAAAGAATAATAGTAGTTTCTTATTTGTGACGGCTCCTGACTACAGTTTAAGAGAAAAGAGGATCAGTCATTCGTTTAATAAGCCCAGCAAGAAAGTCAGGGCAGGTTTATTTCACAAAGTCTCCCTTCCAGTCAGACAAAGGCCCACACCGCCGGCCACACCCTGTACAAACAGCAATGCCTGGAGACTCTCTACGGTGGATGCCACTGTATGAAAAGAGAAGGTTTTCACTTCCCCGAGTGATGACTGGGGGATGTTTCTTTCATAACAGCAGCGGAAAAAAACAGAAATGCAAAAAACCTTATTTTCCATATTACCACCAAGTGATCTGCAAACAGTACTGCAGAAGATTTCACATAAAAATTCAGATTAGCACAATGCTGTCCAGTGGTGTGTCATCATACCCTTGGCAGTGAGCACGGAAAACATGAAAAGAAAAAAAAAAAAAAAAAAAAAAAAAAATAAAAAAAAAAAAAAAAAAAAAAAAAAAAAAAAAAAAAAAAAAGATGGATTTATATGCCAGTAATTTCAAAACGCTAACATATGAGAGCAAGTCAACAGAACAAAATTAGGTATGGCAGGTGGAGGTAAGGGATAACAAATAAATAAGATTTGAGCTGGTCTAGCTAGAGGGATGAGTGAGAATTTAAGTAAGGCCCAGAAGACAGATCATAAAATTTATCGCAAAGGAAGAAAAATGGGTTGGGACAGCATAATACAGCACTATCTGGCTCTTGGTGAAGTAGCTCGTGCCAACCAAACACCACCTCCTTCTCAGTCTCATCTGAAAGCAAATAAACTAAATCCTAAAAGAACACAAATCGATGAATGTCATGCTTAACATCTTAGCGAAGCTATTCTATCACAAATACCTAAGTTTGCCTTTTAGGAGCGACAGCAAAGGTCTGGCCCCAGTAGGCTGCTTCAATTTAACAGCACCCACACTGATCCTCTGGAGAGAAGTGAAGAATGAAAAACAGTCACAAAAAGCAGGAGAGGCAGCTTTAGATACACACACAAAAGACAAAAATGAAAGAATATAAGAATCAGTTCCATGCAAAGCTTTAACTTCCCCAGTTCCTAGGTCTGACAGTGGGCAACAGTAGATGAATGGTTACATGAAGAACAACCCTTGTCCTAACATACCCTACAACTACAAAACAAGCTGTTCTGCAAATCTGAAAGTACTACAGAATGAGTTTTCCTTGATGGAGCAGAAAAGATGGGAGGCAAGAGACACAGAGGTGGACTAGAAGAGTCAGGGAAGGAACTCGGGATCAAAGCGGAAAAAAGGAACCGGGTGACAGAACAGCACTAGCACCAATCATTTGTGGAAAGAGATAACAAGATACATTTAAATGTGAAGAAAATACTAAACTGAGCAACAGTTAAATACACAGAAGTTTCGAGGAATTTGAGAGTGTTAAGATTTCTTATCTTAAATATATATCTTACATTTCTTATCTCAAACTCAAGAGTCCAAGAGGGAAAGAAAAATGAAAACATCAGAATACTGCATAGAAATGGAAATGGAAGATGAAGGCAACAGCAAYACAAACACACTTTTTTATTGTGCTTTTTAAAGAAGCATAGGAAAAACAAAGAGTTCAAAGGCAATCAGCTACACAAGCCAACTACTGAGCTAGCACCTCTAGCGTATAGTTTTTGCAGCATAAAAACAATGTTACATCTGTGAATCAGCTGGATTTTGTCAGGAGAAGCCCAGGCAGAAAAACAGTAAAGGACAAAAAAGTCAAAGGAAATGACAAAGCCAATGGAGTCTAGAAAAGCCCTGAGGTGAAATGACTTTATGAAGTAGCATATGATCAGCACAATGAGTCACCTACCCAAAAATGCAGAAGTTCACAATCCATTTTGAGGAAATTGCGATGGCTAAAACAAGGGAGGACAAACTCCAGCCCAAAAGAGGCTAAAAATTTTGTATCTAAAATTGACTTAAGGACAAAGTGTCTCTCTACTTACAGAATCAGTTGAAAGCATCTCAGCAATAGAATGGTCCGTGTTGACATTAGAACTTGGAAACAGTTGTGAGACACTACTATAGAAACAGAAGCAATCTTTGATTCAACAAAACTCCAAAGCAAGCAAGATCTATTAATTAAAGGTCCAGGGTGCACTTTGGCTAAGTTTGTTGCATCTAGTATCTTGGTACCATGAAAGACTGAAATGGCCTATCTCCGAGCTTCCAGTCACACATGCCTTGCTACTTCCTTAGCATGGGTTTTATCTCTTTTAGATTTCTATGAGCCAATTAAGTTCATTAGTCTAAGAGAAAACACAGAAGACAAGGAAATTGTTTTCAGCCATATTACCTAGCTTAACGGGCTCATAGTGAGATTGGAGAAGTGCTACTGATACAAAGGAGAAAACAGGAATCTATAGCCAGCACCGGCAGAGAACCGCTGCGGCACCGCCCGCACCAGCAGCTACCAGCAGTTAAACTGGCTCAAGAGCATCCTAGAACTGGTGAAATCGTATCTGGAAGTAAGTCTGAAATAAAATAAACCTTTTGTGGCAATGGATTTGGAACTTTCTAGGTCWCTCAGAATCTCTAAGCCAAAGAGAACTAAGTTTCTGTGCACATGAAACTATGTTCTACTTTACGGTAGACCACCGAACACATAATGCACATAACGCTATGCCAGATTGTATTATTACTGCAAGTAATCACTCCAGTGTGATAAACCAAACGTGTTTCTAATAATGTAAAGAAAAATTCCAATTATGGCTTCCTCAGACAAAAGCTGCTTTCTTTTCTTTCCAGAAACTCTGTTTATGTAACACATGCATTGCAGAAAGAACCCTACACATTATCTCACCTTACTAGCTCTTACTCCACCATATACTAAGATGAAAGCTGATTTTAGCGTAACTTAAAAAAAAAAAAAATAGGGGATTTTTACTCAAACTCTTCCTTCTTGTGAATCAAAGAAGTGGCATTTGATAGAATTACTGAACACCAACTAGATATCRGTAACTCCATGACAATTTTAGGATGCAGGGTTTAAATACCACCAAGGGTAGAGAGCTGCAGGCAACTGACTGAATAGCTCAAGTTTTCAAAAAAGATCCTACTTCCTGATCTCATGTCTATTTTCACATTTTTCAAGTATGAAAGTTTTACAGTGGGCTTATCTAAAATGAGATTCATGAGCAGATACTGTATCATCAACAGTATTTTTCGGTTTCATTAAGACAAACTGACTCCTCTCAATACGATGATAACGTCTTTACCGTAGAGTGTCTGGTAGATCCTCTTGTGAAATACTTGTCACCAGCTTTTGGAATTTACGAAAGAGTTCCACTTTACAGATTTTGGATCTATAAAAAAAAATTAGAAATTGGAAATTCTGATGGAAAAAAGAAAACATAGATTCACTCCCCCTTACAGTTCACAGCTAAACAGTTTTGATAAAATACATTATGTTCACTTCTCAAGTAAAGTAAAAACTTCTGTCATTTTCCCACCCCATCCAAGCATCCAAGCGGCCTTTTTCCTTCGTTTTAAATGTTATATTGACAAAGAGCTGCATTGCCCCCATTCTCCCAGGCAGCACTCACCGGTTTGCAGAAAGAACATTTTTTAATAATCACTACAGTGTTAATCTGCATGATACACTGCACTGTCGTCAGCTCACAAGTGAAGTTAAGGTTCAGCCAGAAGTACTAATCCCAGAAAAGAACAAACAAGCACAGGACTCCAAAGKCTTGTTCAAACTGTTAACTTTTGTATTATTCAAAACAAATAAAAGAAGCAGAAGAAATATCTGGAACAATGCTGTCCTTTTCACAAAGGTGAGGAAGACACATTCAAAAACAGCAGTTAAATACAAAGAGGCTCTTAAAAAAAAAGTGAGTCAAAGTCTGAAGACAATATATGCATCTGTCAGGTTTGAGCCCTTCTATTTCCCCCAAGAGATGGAAACCAGAATCATCATTTATAAAGTGTAGTTTGTTTTTGAAAGGCCCAGCTGCTCCCTCCATGTAATTATCTTTACATACTCGCCTTCACAATAACTGATTCAGYTCTCCAACAAGCACAAACTGATTCTCCAGAAGCATTGGAAAAAACAGCAATTAAAAAAAATCTTCCTATGTTGCGAGCATGTATTTTAAGAACAACAAAAATGGCATAGAATCATAGAATGTCCACAAGGAACATCGAGTCCAACTCCAGGCTCAGGAAAACCCCAATAATCCCAGCACGTGCCTGACAGCATTGGCCAAATGCTCCTCGAATTTGGACCACTGCAACCACTGTCCCGATGGAGGGACCACTCTTCAGAGAGAGTCTGTTCCAGCACCCGACCACCCTCTAGGTGAAGAACCTCTTCCTAGCATTCAGCTTAAACCTCCCATCACAGCTCCAGCCATTCCATYAGGTCCTGTCTTTGGTCACCAGAGAGCAGAGAACAGTGCCTGCTCCTCTGTCTCGCCTCACAAGGAAGTTGTAACCTGCTACGAGGTCTCCCGTCAGTCTCCTCCAGGCTGAACAGGCCAAGCGTCCTCAGCCGCTCCTTGCAGGGCTTCCCCTCCAGACTCTTCACCATCCTGATGACCCCCTGCTTTGGACACTTAAAGGTTCATGTTCTTCTTGTATTCCTGTGCCCAAACCTGCCCCCGGGACTCGAGGTGAGGCCATACCCGTGCAGAGCAGAGCGGGACGATCCCCTCCTTCACCTGGGCAGCGATGCTGGACCCGACGCCCCTCAGGATGCGAACGGCCCCTCTGGTTGCCAGGGCACTGCTGGCTCATATCCCACTTGCCATAAACCAGGACTCCTAGGCTCCTTTCCAAAGCCCTGCTTTCTGGCCTCTCATTCCCCAAGCTGTCCATACATGCAGGGTCACCCTGTCCCATGTGCAGAAACTGGCACTTTTCTTTGTTAAACTTGGTATGGTTGGTGATTGCCCAACCCTGCAGTTTGTTGAGGTCTTTCTGCAGGGCCTATCTTCTTTAAAGGGAGTCAACAGCTCTTCAGAATTGAGTATCACTGGCAAACTCACTTAGTGTACCTTTGAGACCCGCATCCAAGTAATTTATTAGGATGCTGAAAAGCACCAGCCCTAAAACAGCCCTGCTGAAACCCATTGGTGACCACAGCATGCAAAGATACTCTAAAACTGAATATACAAGTTAATCTCTCAAAGGTTCATATTGTAGTTTTTGGTGGTTTAGTWAATTAAGCATTAACAAAAATACATATCAGACATTTACCTACAAATTCCTTTTAATCAGTCAGCTTTCCCTTCCTTGATATTTAGTATTACCTAGCATATTGAAAGGGAGAAAAAATCCTCAAACAACACTTCCCAGCAATCACGCTGAGATTCCTTGAGAGAAAAAGAATGTAGAAATACAAGTCTTGTTTATTATTAACCACCACCACCCCCAAAAAGGCTGTAAATTCCTTACTCTCATTATAAAAGTTCCTTTTGTGACTGTTTATCTCAAAAATGTAAATACTTTACTTGTTCCTTGACATTGTTTTTAATCCTAATTTCCTAAGGAAATGAATCGTTTGTAATCATACCGTCTCATAGGCTCTGATGACTTTCAAAAGTTTTAGTGAATTTCAAGCATATGCTGAAAGGAGGATCTTTCAACAATAATTAAGTTCTTACACTTTCGTGCTTATTGGCAGCTAGCAGATGGCTCTGAAGTTTTAAAGCTGATGCACAAATACTATGTAACAAATTTAAGCCTGCCGAGAAAAAGGGGTGGTCTGGTTTGTTTGATTCTTAACACATCTTCTGGAATACATTACATAAGACATATCGAAAATAAATATTCTACTGTGCACACAGAGCCTGTCTCAAAAGACACACTAAGTCACTCAGGTCACCTGAGTGTTAGCAACAGCCCAGACACTAATACTGGTCACAAATCACGAAGTTCCTGGTCTTCCTCTTTCCATAGAAAATTTGGAAATGCTACAATATAGCAGGATAAACTTCAGTCAAATCAGGCCTAACCTCAAGAACCTCAGTGTGTGCAACTTGCAGGCATATGAATAAACTCTCCGTAAAAATTGTCTAAGCTGTCATTATTATGCTATTCACCACTTGTCAGGATTATCATCATTCTCCCACGAAGTCTAGGAAACATGAACAATATGACCATTGATAAATTGGTAGCAGAATCAACYGACAACTAAAACACTAGCCCAAATCCTCAAGCTGTATTTCCACAGACCACTGATAATTTTGATCGCCTCATCTAAAATGAAGATAATATAGAGATGGAGAAATTTGTCCGCAGATGCTAACAAGTAATTCCTCTCAACCTGAAGAAAAATATGTAACTTTTTCTGTAAACAATGATTGTTGACAGAGGATTTCTTAAAGAGCACAGTGCCAAGGTGACAGTTGGAAAGGTGACATGTTCACGTAAGGGATGTGCTGCAAGCATGTCAAAGTATTTTCAAATGGTAAGGCAGAAAGTCATGTTTCAAAGCAACACTTTTAATGATCATACATCCAGGTAAACTGGCTTGACTTCTAAAGGAGAAGAAATCTATAGAAAGAGAACCTGCAATGCACATATTTCCTTCACAGTCATTAACTGAAACAAACACAAAGCAAAAATTCTGTTTCCTTCAACAGTAAATATCCTTTTAATAAAAACTGATCGTAGTCCCCCGCCACCATTATCTACAATGTTCTCAACAGTGACAAAGAAATAGGACAAACTTTATAATTCTCACTTAACTTTCATTATCAACTGTCCTCCTTCCCTTACACAGCGATTCTTCCTTTTCCCCTGCTCTCTATCTTCCCCCCTCTTCAGCACTCCCTAGATTTCCTCCTGCTCTGACAATGTGCAACACGTATCACGAGCTGACAGAGGCATGTAGGCAAACAAATAAAACGTGTGTTGTCCAGGTATTACACCTGCTCTCGCACCTGCTCTGACAGCTCCCAATCCCCTTCTTTGTCGTTCCCTGGCGGAAGCCATCTGAGGTGACATCCAGAGGTTGCTCGGGGACTGCACTCCAACTGATAGCTGTAGAAAAAATTATATAAACAAGGTAGGTGCTCTTATCACAAAAGCAGAACAAAACAGTTCCTTTCATTCTATATGTGTTGCTTCCCAAAATAATTCACACTAGAAAGAGGACCATGGCTCTCTAGAGCCAGAACAGCAGTATCTAAAATGATGTTTAATAAACGAAATTAAAACACCCACACACACACACAGAATTTTCATCCTCATTAGATCATTTAACAATCCCTGCCTCTAAATATCTGGTCTCCAGCTTTGTAATTCTCCCTTTCTTTTGTGCATCCTGTCCGGAAAACACATGAAGAAATTTCCAAGTTAGATGCCTTATTTTCACATCACGCTGTGAAATACTGCCCTAAACTACTTGCACCAGTCACTCTATGTTTTCCTCATTAATTTATCCTCTGCTATTATTATAGTGTAGTCTAAGTAGTTTTATGTTTGATAACTGACATAAATCAATTATTTGTAGACTTTACTTGAAAAACATTATTAGCTAGTAGTCAAATAAAAATAATTTGTTGAAAGAGATAGCAAGTGCCAACAACCTTAAACTCTATCCCAAGCCRGTAAACTTTGATATCTTCTTAGACTGCCAACTTAATGCTGAAACTCTGCAAACAGTATCTTACACTTTCTAAGTAACTAGCAAAGCATCGGCACCACTTTAACAGAAACTGACAGGTCCAGTCTCTCCCTAGCACAACAGCACGCGCTTCAGCTTCTGCTACCACGAGACAACTTCCATTTCCTAAATTCTCCCTCTTCTCTGTGTTCCTAACAGGCAAAACAGTCGCACATGCATTCACTCTAAAGACCATCTTGCTATTAAAGATGATCAAAGACCGCTGGTATTACTTGCCCTTGTATTAAAAGTCTGCTGTATGCTGCAATTATTGTACTCCGCTAAGTGCCAATTGTACTTGCACTGTGATTTTAGTACACTGCTGTATCACTCTACTAAGTTATAATCCTGTGYAAAATGAAATAACATTAGATGCATATAACTGGTATTAAACCCTACACAGGTGAGGTACCTAAAAATGACCTGGTCAGAGGATATCAGATTCTGACAAGCAGATACAAAGTTACTTAAAAATTAAAGCATTTTCCATTCTTTCACCTTTTCGTAGTTATCTCAAACTTCAAAACACTAGACAGAACACGTATCTTTTTAAAATACCAGCTGAAATGTTTCTATCAAGCACCTTTTAATACTCTGTGTAGTGACCCTGAATTTAGAGTTTATTCTGATTTTCAGTCCTTCAAGAAAGGAAATTTTGCATTAAAAAAAGCATGCTAAGGCATCATTCACCTTCATTTAACAGAACAACCTGAGAAGTGCACAGAAAGAAAGATATACACTGAATTTAGTCACAGCTGCTTTCAGGCCTTTTTTGCTAACACAATTGGCACCATTTTTCAATGATGAATTTCGTTTGCTATCTCACGAAATTGAAGTATTTTCCTTCCTGGCACTTGTAAATAACTCAAATTTAATGAATGTTAATTCCATTAAGGAACGCTTTGTCTCCATTCTATGATTAGCTCTATTGTAACAGAAAATCTTTCAGTTCTGGTTCAGATTGAAAAGCATACAACAGCAGAAGGCAGGCATGTCCAAGTTTAAAGAAACTGAATAGCCATACACACAGAGTAGCAATTCCATTACTTTTTTCCAAATGAGACCATGTTGCTAAATCACACTAAGACCTAAATACTCATCCATCACCGTGACAAAGAATGCCATACCAAAAATATTTATCAATTCAATTTTTACACTATACTACTCTGTATTCTTTCTTTATTCACAGATTTTTGGGGCAATTACAAACATAACTCAGCATGGTAAGTCCTCTGTTCATTACAAGGAGAATGCAAAACTAACTGAAACAAGAAATATTTTGTTTTCTTCTTGTCCTCAACTTTTCTTTCCCCTGGTTATTTTCTGTCTGTGTTTACATTATAAATTCTTAATGGCATCAACCAAATGTTTATCCAGTCTGAAAACTCCCTACTGGAAACTAGAGGCTGAGACAAATAYTATTCATTATTAACAATTAAGTTTATAATCGGAAATAAATTCCTTGCTGTTCATACTTTGCCTGTAGTACACTGGCAAGGAATGATGTTCCACTCCAAGCAACCAAAACCACCTCATTTCTATTTGGRCTTTTGCACACAGTTACGCAACTARCCCAAGTTAACTTACCTGCACTACAAGGAACAAGTTTTGTTTTGCTGTTAGTTTGAACTTCCTGAATCGCCTGACGGCTATGCTCAAATTGAAGATCTGATTGCAACAGCTTAACCTCCTGGGTGAGAAAACCGTCTGGTAAGGGTGAGATGTGCTGACACCTAAAGTAAACAGGGAAAAATGCAAGTGATTTTCACAGTGTTCTTCCCAAACGAGCCTGTTTTGCACAGTTTCCCTTCATTATCTGAAATATGTTTCTTTTACATTAAAACTGAATTGAACATGGCTTATAAAGGAGAGACAAGGAGGTTTGGAGGCATTTTTCCTTTCAAAAATTATTTGTTGAAAAAAAACAAAGCCATATTAGTTTATTAAGACCTTGTCTGTCCTAGAAAAACTACAATGAATTGGTTTTTTAAAAGTTCTAGTTCAAAGCTAGTATAATCAATGAAGTATGCAGGACAAGAACTGCAACGTACCTCTGCCACCACAAAGAAAAATAATAATTATAAAGTATTTACATAGCAAACCACATTACATTGGYAATTGTTTAATGTAGCTAAAGGTTTATAATCAAAGCCTAAAAACATACAAAATATACTTACAGTTCCATGTATAATCTTATCTTTGTTACCTTAAATTACCATTGCATAATGAATGACACTGTGATCATACAAGGAAAAAATGGCGTGTGTTTAATCACCATGATATTTACACAGAGCAGAAATTAAGAGTGAGATTCATACTGTTAAATGCAGTAGTGTGATAGCCTTGTTAAGTCTTGGTGCGGTCAGACACTTGACTGCACTAAGACTTAAAAAGGCTAGGYAAATTCTTGTTACATGTTACAGAATGATGAAATGATTAGGTGCTCCACCGGGTACCTAACTAGAGCTTCTCCCTTTAAGAGACTATGACCTCTTTTATAACCACCCCAGAAGGATGCAGCAGTATAGAGCAAAAGAGTTACTAAACAAAGTCAAACCTTTCCTACAAACTGGTGTAGTAACTGCCACTTAAAAAGAATGGTTCAGCTTCCTGGTTTCTTTCTTGCTCTCCTTTCACTCTGCCCAAATGCACTTAGTCTTCTCTAGTACTGTACTCTTCTCTACTGATTTAGCATCTCAAGTAAGAAAGATATCCACTTCCTATCCTTATTGCTGGGATAATTTTGATCAACTCAAGAATCTGAGGAGAAAGAAAGCCAGTGCACAACAGAAGACATTCCTCATTTAGCAGCAGTGCACTTCATCCCTCATACACATCTCCCTGAGGTGACAGGTTGTGTTACGAGAGCTCTACTAGATACAGCAGGGAGAAAGATCAGCTCTTGGATGCGTTTAAGAGTAAAGAGGCAGACAAATTTTTACCACGATGAAAATGAACATAAGCTTTGCCTCTCTGGTATAACACAACCGTCCTCTTCCAGCTGACCGGTACAAGCGGTCACATATTAGGCRTCCTGAACTACTTCAATAAATCAGAGAAAAACTGTGGTGGGAGGGGACCTCTTGTAGGTTACCTGGTCAAACCACCGTGCTCCAGCCAGGCTACCTACAGCCACTTGCCCAGGACAGTATATAGACGGCTTTTGAGTAACTCAAAGATGGGAGAGTCTATGAACTCTCTGGGCAACCTCTGCCAGAGGTCCATCACTGTCACAGAAGTGTTTCCTGATGTTCCAAGGGAACCTCCTGAGCTTCAGTTCATGCCCATTGCTTCTTGTCCTGTCACTGACAGCCATGAAAACAGCCTGGCTCCATTTTCTCTGCCACCTCCCTTCAGGTATATGAACTGGTAAAATCCCCACAAGCCTTCTCCATGCTGAGTAGTCTCAGATTTCCTCACAGGAGATGTGTTCAAAATCCATAAAACATTTTTAAGGCCCTTTTGCTGGACTCTCTCCAGAATGTCCACGTCCCTCTTGTACTGAGAGGCCTAGAACTAGACACAGCCCTTCAGGTGTGGCTTCACCGGTGTCGATCCAGGAGAAGAATCATCTCCCTGGACTGCTGTAATACTTTGCCTTGTTTGTTGCTAGAGCACACTGCTGGCTCATTTTCAACTTCAGGTCTAGCAGGAAYGCCTAGTCCTGCTCTACGAAGCTGCCTCCCAGCTGGGCAGCCCCCCAGCATATATCAGTGCATGGGACTGTTCTTTCCCAGCTGCAGGTTTTCACTTCCCTATGCTGAATTTCATGGAGTTCTCTACTTTTCTCCAGCCTGTTGAGGTCCCTCTGGACAGCAGAACAATGCCCTGGCCTATCAGCCACCTCTCAGTCTTGAGGCTTCAGTCAGCTTTCTGGACATACACTCTCCACCAGCATCTAGATGACCGATTAATGAATATACTGAACAGGTTTAGACCTAGCTTTGATGCCTGGAGTATATAGCTACTTACACTTTTAACTACACTTTGCCCACCGATCACTACCTTCTGGGACTAGTCAATTAGCCAGTTTTCAATCCACACGTCTGCTCACACTTTAACAGATCCTCTATCAGCATCTTACAAGACAGTACCAAAAGTTTTAATATTTGTATGACACGTGTTGTCTTACAAAACTCACAGTCTCCACATGCACTGAGGAGAGCACTTACCTTTCAATAACTGCTCTCCGCATAGCTTCTTGGCTATATGGACACTTCCCCACTATAACTGCTGACAGATACACTGGATACTGCAGAAAATGCATCAGAAGCGCTCCTTGACACCCTAACACGTTCCAGCGAGCCAGCTTATCACTGCAGGACATAGAGCATGTTCTGTCTCCACGACCTGGCTTCACTCGTAGTAATCCCACACAGTGGTACCCTAGCCCAGGTATTCGGGCATCATCCAGCTCTCCAGGTACGCATTTTGCTCCAGTTCTATGAACATCTACTACCTCTGGTCTCACTAAGCCAGTCTCCTTATTAATTGTCTGCAGCTCTGCGGAACATTCACAGCTCTTTTGATTTGCGTTGTCTTCTCGTTTCACAGATTCATGCTGAACAGCCAGGTTTTCAGTGACTATGGAAAAACAACCATCATCATCGGTTTTCAGTCTCTTGATTATATGATTATTTGCCATTTTCTCTGATTTCTTTTTATCTTCTAGACACAAGTGACTCTGGTTACTTTTACATCCTGCTGATTGTCCAGCTGCATGACCTCCAGTCAGGGGCTTAGAAAGCTGGTTTTCTGGCTCACTGACTGGAAAAATAGAAGCATCTCCACCTAGAGCAAAAGAAATAACATAATATTGGCTAAAAGCACATCTTGTGACTGGAACATATCACACCAGAAACGTGACAACTACTACTAGCTTTCACAGACCTGCACTCAGAACAATTTAACTACAAGAACACATTTTTGAAACAATGTGGTTCTGTGCAATGCTGAATCAAGTTTCACTTAAGTCTGAGCCCATATGTACTTCAGGTCTTGCATTTCACAGACTACGAGTAGTGCTGAAGACACACAGGAAAACTAGCCTGATCTAACTAAACAATGAACCTCAAAAGACTAATTAAAGAATAATCGGTCAAATAAGGGTAAAAACTTTAATCTATATCACCGAAACAAGCTCAGAACCAAAATTCTGAAGCTCAGTTCAAAGCAAAGTAAGCCTGACAGGCCTGGTGATGCAAGAAATTTCTCACAATGTGAGACGAAGACAGTCAGGAACTTATTCTCATTAATAAATTTGAAGGTATCAATTCTATTGTCAAATTCACTACGGAAGAAAAGTAATACTGCATATTCTAGCAATGCACTCAAAATGATGAAAATGTATGAGCAACTAAGTCAATCCGTGAAGTACTGATGAGGCATATTTTGAGAGTTCTTAAGAATCCTTTGCCCTGTAACAGACTAGCAGCTGGAAAAGACACTGGTGAGAGAACACGGTAATATCAAGATGCCCGATGGTTGGAAGACCAGGAGGACACATTCCTTCATTTTGCCAACGGATCTTCATCTTTGTGGGGCTGGTTTTTTTTTAAAACACACAAAGAATGTCTTCCGTGACAGAACCTTCATTGCATTCCCTAAGTTTTGCATTGGGGAGCTAGGGATGTTTCATGGATGGGCTTCTTTTCTTGTTTTTCAGGAGCGTGGTTTTGGTTTGTTGGCAGTTTTTTGACTGGTCAGTTTTGGGTCTTCTCCCCTTGTTTCATTTTGATTTATTTTGCTTGGTTTTGGCTTTTTTGTTTGCATGTTGGTTTGGGGGGTTTTTTGTCAGTCTGCGTTTTTTTCTTTGTTTCTCATGGGTTTGGGGGTGGTTATTGGGTGGGGGCAGGTATCTTTGGCTGTTTTTAGGAACAGTGGTAAATGTCAGGACCTTTTATTAAAATTTTAATCCAAGGAGATAATGTTTAAAGTAAAGCAACCGGGCAATATGACAGGATCTCTGACAAGCATGTTATTTTCTGGAAAAGAAAACAGTAGCTACTAATGTTTAAAGTGACACATTCCACTACATAATGAGAGTACATCAGATTAACTGAGCTCCCATGAATCCCACCCAGTGAGACAAAATGCCAAATCAGTGGAGGACCAGTCAAGTACATCTTCAGTTACATATTGGTAATACAAATTCCTGCTTCACTTTCAATCCAGACCAAAGAAAGGCAAGGGACAGAAAAGATTCTACAAGTGGGAGTAATGTAACTGGTTCACTCCAACATACTCACATGGGGTATGACTGGAGAAGAAAACAAATGTGATATTGGGTTTGAGTTTCCATTTCCCAGTTTCAGTTCCTGGACTAAAGATACATTGCTGATGGGAAGCTGCAAGCCACAACTGATGGAGAAGATACCTGTTAGGCAGAAAATTTTTATGAAACGTTTACTTGACTTTGATGCATGAGAAAACAACAAAACTTAAGACGCCCTCTAGTGCCTGTTCTTTCCTGACTGAGTCTATGAGGAGCCAATCAGTTACGCTTTTACAGAGAGATGGCATCCAAAATACTAAACATAAACACGTAATTGGAACTTTAATAACAGACCTTAAAGGGTTGGATTCAGTGGAGTTAACCATCTCAAACCGTATAGATAACGTCCTCTCCTCCCACTAAGTCTGTTTTTCCCAACTCTGCAACTCATCTGATCCTGCAAGACTCTGTTTAGTGGCATCAAATGGCAAGAAATGTACTCATTTCTGCAAAATTACTATTCTCCTGGCTCAGTTCCCCGAACCAGTTTATCCCATGTAAACAACAGAACTGGTGTGTGGGAAAAAGCAAAAAATCTATCCTTGGCTAGTTGTCATCAGATCTGCATTGTTATTGCATGAAATCAGATCCTAATTCTTAGTACAGAGGCTCTAGAAGAAGGAAGAAGCAAGCTTTCGTGAAAGGGCCTTAACACCACCTAGAAGTATAGAAATTTGGCTAAAATCCTGCCAACAACAGGATTTGTTGTTGCCTACACGGAAGCAATGCAGTCTTTCACGCCATCCTCATATCTGAATCTGCAGAATGTGATTATTTCAGCAACGGGTCCAAGTTATTTGTATCACAACAACCTCAGGTGGCATTGAGTAACAGCACTGTTACAGCACTGGGCAAACTTCATTCATGCCTCACCTCTGGAAGCTCCTCTTGGCCACAATTTCAGCATGACTGTCATTCAGAATGTCTCCTAAAGCAAAACTCAAATGTGAATACAAAATCATTACTAAAATGACAAACACAGCAAGTAGAATTTGACATAGGACAATTCTCCACATTTGTTACTACCTGATGATATACCATTGGTTTTAAGAGTATTGCAAGATATTTAAACTTCCAATCAACACAAAATGAGAGCAACAGCCTACACAAATGAAAGATAAAATTACTCAGTCTGCAGCAAGTCAGAGACTTGTTTGAATACCAAATTTTAAGTCTTCTGATATTGAAAACCCTTTGAGTTGAATAAACACTACCTCCCTTCAAAATCTTCCTGACTTTTTACAAGGGTAAATCTTGATATTCTCAAAAAAATTTCTGCCAGAACATTTCAAGTGTTTGTTATGCTTTCGGTTGAAGTTTCTTTTTGGACTACGTCCTAAAAGTTAAACTACTTTTCCTGCAAATAATTCTGATACTTACTAAGTTCACACATCTCACCTTCAGCGTGCCTGAATATCTGCCTATTGTGGTATCTAAAGGAACGGGAGTTGTAGGTCATGTTTTATTTCAGGGGCAAAAGGCCAGGTGATAAGACATCCTCTTCAACTGCATTGAAAGTTTAGAAGTGATCTAACAGATAACCAATAACATGACCTATCACCAAGTTAATTTAAAAATAAATTAATGTTATCATAAGAGGAAAATATTTTCTAGAGTTGAGCTCACTGAAGACAACAGCAAAACCAACTAGTTTTACCTTTTCCTAGTCAACTTTCTACTCGGACCCTTAATATCCAGATTGCAAATGGTACGAGTTTAATCACATTTTTCCCAAATTAGTCAGAAAAATATCTGTACTAATACTCTTCTGAGACGGCCAAATCACAAGAAACATTAAAAAAAGATCTAAAATACAGAMTATAGTTCAATCCAGAATAAGTCTTGGACATGTTCATTGATTCTTTGACACTAGCGAGAAAGAAGGTAGCATAGGTAGTCTGTTCCTGAATTTTACACCATACTTACCGGTGTTTCGCATTTTGTTTTGGCCAATACATTTTGTTCCAGTTCCCATTGCAACAACTTCCATGGCTACTGAAAGAGAAACAACGTTAACCGAAGAAACGACCACCTCTGTCTATTGACAGAAGCATTGCTCTCATGCGGTCATTCTGGTAAGACAACGCGCAGAACACTGAGTAAAAGGCAATGTAGAGGGAGGCAGACCATGCAACATTACAGAACGGAAACAGTATCAGATCAAGAAGTGAATACAGCACGCAAAAGCACCAGTGCTAGCAAAAGTCTATGACTGCATAGGCGGAATGCTAACACAGGCTTGCTATGCCGGAGAGCACACAGCAGACACTGCCATAGCATTCCTCGGGCACATAAGAAGTAACAAATATGGGATACAATCTGCCTGACAACATTCAAGTGCTACTAAGGGAAAAGAAGATCATGACAAATTAATGTAAATTCAAAATGCAGTAACACAACTTGTTAAAGGAGGGCAAATCTATCTAGAATTCTATCAAATCAAACATGCTTTTTCAGGAGTTTGTATTAGAAATTCAGGTCCTGCCTAGACTTTCACCACATACTGAACAGCCAAATGCAGGTTTTCATCTTATTTACAGTCTGGGAAGAACAGCACTTCACTAAAACCACCCTTTTTCAGACAAAAGTTTTGAAAGCTTTTACAATCATAAAGAGTAAAGATTTTGGATAGAGACAGAAGTGGAATAGGAAGGAGTGCATGTTCTTTTTTAAAAGGCACACTAAAAAAAGGAAATAAAAAGAAAGCATCAATTACTTTCTCTCCTTCTCCCTTCCCTCCCAACCCTATCCCCACATTTCATTCTTACCCTGAAAGTTTCCTGAACTAACAGGAACGTCTCTTTGGGCTGCAGACTCCACTTTGACAATAGCTGCCAGGGAAGTCCACTCCCTGTTTGGATCTGGTTTCCCCTGCTTAGGAAGTCTGGTCCTATAATGTAGGTAACATAGCCCAGCGATTTCATCAGCTGACCACATGGCTCTCGATGCAAGTGCAGGTTCTACACAGAATTGGATTCCATCACAACACTTGAATAAAAAAACCCATCTCTTCAAACCCTACCATCTTGCTCTTCACGACAGTTTCCTGCACCAGATTCAAACAACCGAGACCTAACTGCATCACCCCTCTCAAGACTACTTACAGGAAACAACCTTCTCCGATTCTCAAAAAATTTCAAAAAACAGTGCTAGAAGCCTGCAGTGCAGCAGCAGGTGGGACTGTTGGGTTCCCAAGGCTCCCACTATGAAGCAATTAACCGCATACATCACGCCGCCGTCCCGGTGCGGTCCCTGCGGCGCACCTGAGGAAGCCGGCAGCACSCGCCTTCTTTCGAGGACTCCAGGCCTCCACCTCGCCGAGAACCGAGGCAGCTCACGCTCCGACGCTCGGGCCAGGACCTCCCGCCACCCCGGGGACAGTCCCCTCCCCACCCGCCGGACCGACGGCGCCGCCGCTCTGGGCCAGGACGGGCGGCGCCACACGAACCTCCGGAGCCGCGCCGCCCGCGGAGCGCCTCGGGACCCGCGCACGCGCAGCTGCTTCTCGCGCGCGGCACCCGCCGGCAGCAGCGGCCGCGGCGCAAGCGCACAAAACAGAGAGACGAGTGCAGAGAAAGCTGCCTTTATTGAAGGTATGCGGCGCTCCGAAGCTCAAACGCAGGAGCCCTCGCCACGCGGGCTTCACGCGGAGGTGCCCGCGGCGGTCTGGAGCCTCACACAGAAGTGCCCTCGGCGGGCTGCGCCTCCTTCTTGCTGTCCTCCGGTTTCATGGCGGGGAAGAGCAGCACCTCCTGCGAACAGCAACAGCGTCAGCGGCCGCGCCGACCGGCAACGCCACATCTCGTGCGCTGCTCTCGCGAGAGCGGCCCGGGCTGCGCTGCTCGGCCGCGCGCCAAGGAGCTGTGCCCGGGTGGGATYCGCGGCTTAGAAGAATCTCGCACTGCTGCACTGTCTGCACTGGCTTCGTCAGACACAGCCAGCTTTGCAGAATCCAATTCCCCGTTCTCTGACATAACCACTGCTAATGCTCACCTTGATGTTATTGGAATCTGTAAGGAACATGGTCAAGCGATCAATTCCCATGCCCCAGCCAGCTGTTGGAGGAAGACCATACTCCAGTGCCGTGCAGAAGTTTTCATCAATAAACATGGCTTCATCATCACCTGCAGCTTTTGCCTAAACGAGGGAATTAAAACGTGGCTTGTAGAGAGCTGGACAGCACCGCTCCTGCTAACCCCTACCAAAAAGGAGGAATACTGCTATTTGTAGCTGCCGTACAACCGATGAAACCAAAGGCCAATTAGCAGTGCAAATGACTAATGGATGAAGGAACCTCAGCACACAGAGAACTCTGGAGCTCTACATTCAATTTCTTTCTGCCCTGTAAGTCTCCTACTTTGATAAAGGCCCAGGCTCTTCACTTCAGTAAAAGCCATCTTTCAGAGCCATATGGCAGCAGATGATAGAATGAATTGCTTTAAAAAGCTTATCAGGTTCTTCATTGCTAGCAACCCCCTATCAACATTTGCTGAAACAACAAAGGCGGGTAATTGCTTGAATCATTGGTAGCTGCTTCGTGAACTAATGCTTTTTTTCCTCTCAAATAGGAAGACTAAAACACCGTACACTGAGATGGTAACTAATGCACCTGACCCTGACAGTCTCCACGTGACAAAAGCCATAATAATAAAAATACAGATTAGTCAGCCATCTCAAATTTTGAAACTGACAATAATAAGTGTCGGAACAACAGCAAACATTTCTGCTCACAGTTTCAAGGAAGACGTTGCAAAGACCGTTATGGCATATTTTTCTCCCTAAAATCATGAAATGCAAACTATCATCCTTCATCTCAGTCTCTACCCATTAAATACATACACCATAACATTAAATTTTTAGGCTAATTTTCAATCGATACGTACAATCGTGCCTACAAAGTTTGGCTATAATCAGGAGAGCACTGCAGCAAGTACATAGACAACAGACCAAAAATTAAAGACACCTGTAATATTATTCATTCTGACAGAACATCTTCAAACACATTTTCAAGTTAGTTAGTTAACATAAATCTATTCTCCTGGCTTTGACAATTGTTTAAACCTCTCAGGCACCCTGAAGCCATTAGAAAGAGTATGAAGAACAGGAATCTATTTCTGCAGACTGCATCATTTGATCTCAGTCATGTGTGGCCAAACATGCATTCCTGGATGTGTATACCAAATTAATACCAAAATGAGTTACGGTCACTCCTTTCCAAGGCTTACATAGAGAAATCTAGTAGTACAAATTTGCAAGCCTAACAGTTCCTAATCTGCACCTCTATCCTGTAAGTCAATTTAAAATATTAGTTAACTCTGTTCAGGATATTAAGCTACCTCTTACACAGCATTCAAACTCTTACTGGACATGAAAATTTGTTTAAGAACCTACAAGTATGATGTTGTGTAACTACATACTTACCTGGGGGAAAAACCCTATTTGCACATTTGTGTTTTTCCAGTTTAGTACTTTGGGTGGAATAAAAGGGAAGATATTCCGAGACAAAGTTGCACCAAAAAGCCTAATCAACAGCAGTGTTTGAACTTGTTCACCTTAGAGAGCAAGGTTCCTTTGAAAAGGAACTGAATTGTAATGACAGGCTTCCACTTSAATGAAAAACACTTGCTCAAAGTAATAGCAACTCTTTTCAGCAGTAGGTACAAATGACAGATTTGGAAGAGACACAGGAAATACTCTTTACTTACATACCTGTATTATACTCACTATCAACAAGACACTATACCTTGGCCTGATCCTCAAAAAGCTGACGCTGTCGGACAGGATCGTTAAGTTCTGTGTATGCATTGCACACTTCCTTTTTCATTACAAAGAGTTCAAAGCGTTCTGTTAGTCCCGGAAGAGAACGATGCCTATGTGAAGACAAAACAGACATACCCTACAATAAACACGCATAGAGAAGCAAATGGCACATACATTTCTTAGGGGCACTGCTCACACTTAGCACTAACAGCTATCAAAACTTCAAGGTACTAAGCAATTTAAACCTCTTCTCTGGATGATGGGTTTCACAGCTCAGGAACCAATGTCTATATTGGTTTGTGTCAGAATTCACAAACTTGTACACAACATTAAAATCTCTGTTTTCACATATGTAACTTTTTTCTTTCATAAGGTAGAATTCTGAGTTACACACTGATTGTGTGTCATGCTCTTACCATTTGGCAAGAGGACTCATGACCTGTGGGTGATCACAGATGAATGTAGGGTTGATACAAGTGACTTCCAGGAATTCACCAACTAACTGGAAAAACAAACACAAAACAAGGTAGGGTTAATGCAAGTGACTTCCAGGAATTTACCAACTAACTGGGAGAAAAACAATGTTGGGTTGATAAAATGACTTCCAGCAATTCACCAGCTAACTGGGAAAACAAAAGTGAAACAACTATGCAGTGTACAATTATGCACTTTCCTAGCACTGCCTTCACCAAGCATCTTAATTTTCTCTCTTCGCTACAGAAGAAAGTACCAGAAATATGAAGAGTTTCCTAAGTATTTATGGTCATGGCAATGTCTTGATCAACAGAGTGTGTGTATCCTTGTCAGGTAAGAAAAATGACACAGCAAAAACTGTATAATGATTCAATTTGCACATTACAACAAGGGCCAATAGGAAAAGCATCAAAAGAATAGCTATCAGACAATATTTGGGTACAAAGGAATTCAGCTGACAGAACGATAGGGTATGCTTGCCCTTTTGGTCAGCTACATACTGAAGCATACATCTCACAGACAAAACTGACCTAAATAAAGCAGATCTGTTTTAACCATAATAGACCATTTATCCAACTAAAATCCCCTAGTGCTCAAGACACAGGTAAACTACTTTAAGCAGACATAGGTAAACTACTTTTTGGTGCAGACAATATAAAAGACAATTTTGATACAGCAAATTTTCTCACTGTAATACAGTAGTAACTCAAATGCACTGCAGCATGTTTTTCCAGATGCAGCTGAACCTCTTTGAAGCGACTTCTGTTGATACAGAGAGATCCTGAAAGCAATCAGGATTATAAAAATCAACCTTTGCTTACTTTGTCAAGAAGCCTGGCTGTTGTCCTGGGAGGTGGACATTCAACATTTCTCTCCACACAAAGGTTGTCAAAGAACCTGCGAGTTTCTGAAATTGCAGACAAAAATTAAAACAGACACCCCAGCAACCATTTTTTGTTCTTAATAGATCCTTCAACGTGTCTTAGAGCGACTGGTAAGATCTCAATGGTAGATATCATGGAAAACATGAGCTTAAATATCACTCTACAGAAAGTGTTTGGTTTTAATTGTTTGCAGTAAAATAGGAGTAATTTTATGCTCCAGAAACTTGACAAGAGTTAAGCACAACACCACATAAGTACTGGACATTATTTGGGGGGTGGGGCAGATGGAGGAGGGAATGGAGGACAAGTATATAGTATACTATAAAGTATACTATAAAGCATGTGAACTTGTTTTCTTATGTCTCTTAGTTCCAGGAATAAACAGCACATTTTAAGAAAGCCCCAAATAATCATACACCCAAGCTACAACTGCAGGCATGGAAACTCAATTGCACACAAAAGGAGAAATAAGAAATAAAAAGTCAGATCTCTTTAACAGATCAAGAACTCGGTACATCATGCCTTTTGAGTATATTCATTCACACATATTCAACAGAGGAAAAGGCAAAAGAGTCTGATCCTGCCAAAGGCAGCAAGGAATAAAGTCTTCTTTCTGGACTTAGGTAAACCAACAAAATCAGAAGAAAGTAATCCCACGTGTTAGCACTACCTCAAAAAAAGCAACTAACAGACTGCAGCCTGAGAACTTGCAACCTTTTGCCTGCTTTCTTTAAGGAAAAAATACAGGACATTCATACTCAGCATCTAACCTTCAGTTTCAAAACACTCAGTTGAAGGAAATTTCACTCCTAGGACCTTTTCCAGATCATACACCATGCTAATTCGCCGGAAGGGAGGGGTAAAATCTATCTCATAGGCCTGTCCATCTTGACCATCTGGATGGTAAGTGATCTTGTAACTCCCAGTAATATGTTTCACCATCCCTACAAAAGAAACGTGAGGTTCAGAAGAAGAGTATGCCACATAATAAGAAATCTTCCAGAGTTCCTTACTCTTTTTTTAACAATATTGAATACATCACCTGAAAGCAAATTCTCTGTAATTTCCATTAAGTCGTGGTAGTCTGCATAAGCCATATAGAATTCACAAGTTGTGAACTCAGGGTTGTGAGTCAAATCAATTCCTTCATTCCGGAACTGACGCCCAATTTCATATACTCTGTCCAGACCACCAACCACCAACATCTAAACAAAACGAAATTCTAGTAAACACACTTTCTCAAAAGAACTTAAGAGAGCCCAAACACGTGCAACTGCAAAACAACTTCATAAAYCTCATTCATGAGACAAGTCCACCTTTCTTCAAGAATATTCCTTATTTTAGCTACACTTGCTTTTTTTAAAACAGTTTGAGGAATATAGGCTTAGCCATGAGTGGCTTGAATTTTACCTTATGGTAAAGTTCTGGAGCAATTCTCATATATAAATTCATATCCAATTCATTGTGGTATGTGATAAATGGTTTTGCCACGGCTCCACCTGGAATTACGTTCATCATAGGAGTTTCAACCTGTAACAAGAAAAAAAAATGCCTTGTTTTCATGAAATCAGTTTCCAAACCAGAACTGCATAGATCAAGAAAACAGCTAGTTGTGATGAAAAATCTGTATTACACTTACTGTTACACATTCCAGTATATGAAAATTCTGAACAAATGTGCACTTTTTTCATGCAGTCAATAATAACAAATTACTTAATTTATCTGTTGCTATGAAGAGTCGTTCATATTTTCTGCAAATGTGAACCTACTGGATTCATGTTATCAAAGCCAGGAACAGCACTGTGGCATTATCGCAAAATCCTCTCTATGGCGCWGAAAATGAAATTCAACAAAGCCAAGTCCAGTTTCCTGAACCTGGATCAGCACAATCCAATTCTGCCTACAGTAAGTAAAACTGGCTTTTACCTCCAGAGGCAAAACAGCATTTCAAAGATGTTGTTTCCACCTTGATTTACTGAAATACGGAAAGGACAGCAGTAGATTGGTTTATTACCTTGACAAAAGGTACCCAAGCCATAACCTCACCAACTGATGAATAATCTCAACTTCAAGAAGAGAGGAAAGGAATTGCTCCCATTAGATCAAACTGATAAAACACATCATGCTGAGGTTATTATTGTCAGTTCTGTGAGCACTTTGTATATGAGGCTGAATACAAAACATCCTTGAAGTTGAGAAATTGTGAGAAATTGTAAGCACGTTCAGTATGCTGAGGGAAGTAAACAAGTAAACACTGATGTCTTACCTCAAGGAAGCCCAATTCATCTAGAAAGTTACGAAGATAAGTGATGATCTTTGCACGGGTTATAAATTTCTGCCTCACATAATCATTAAGAATTAAATCCAAGTATCTCTGACGATACCTAGTTTCCTGAAAAGAACATGTATCTTTAGAACAAACTAGATAAAATGTTATGCCAAAYAAAAAAATACCGAAACAAAACGAATATTCCTTTGCTCACCGATAATACCAGCAGGTATCAAAGGTCATCTATTCAGAACTGTCTGTGGCATTCTTGCCCATGGCAGGGGTGTTGAAATTAAATGATATTTAAGGTCCCTTCCAACCCAAACCGTTCTATGATCTGTCCAATTGCCTTCAAAACTGACAGGTATGACAAATACCTTATCTTTGAGGCCAAAATGAAGATGAGGCAACATATGCAGGCATGGAGATAACAGAGTGATTTCATAAGGAATAATACTCAGTTCCCCTTTCTTTGTTTTCCCAGGATTCCCCTCTACACCAATAATGTCCCCACGACGCAGCTTGTTGTTAACACGGAAATACTCTTCCTCAGATTTGTAGAGGCTGTAATCACAAAACAAATGTAAGCATGTTTGTTTAAAATTCAATATTCCAAACTGTTGTCAAGTGTCTCGCATGACAAAATCCATTAAAAAAAAATACACATACACACACACACGTGTGTGTGTGTGTGTGTGTGTGTGTGTGTGTGTGTGTGCATGCGTGTGTGTCTGAAAGATATTTTAACAGGGAATTCAACCGCAACATCTGAAGCAAAACATTACCTGGCTACCTAAGCCAAAACACAGATGAAACAGAATACTCAAATACAGCTATCTAGATCTCAGAGTACAGTGCAGTTTAGAACTCTACAGGAAACACCTCTACTTACCTGGAATTCGCCATGACCTGCAACTTGACTCCTTCACCACGAACATCATAGAAAATCAGTTTCCCTCCAGCAGCACGCTTTGCATGGATTCGACCTAAATATCAAAGCAGGCTAGACATCAGGAAAGGAGACCCTAGCCAAAAAGATACAGGGGCAAAAGCCACAGTACTATCACTTAGACAAAGCATTATCAGCTCTGAACTATTCACTAACTGTGAAAGACAAGCAGTCAAGTCTCAATATGAAAACCACTGCAGGAAAGACCATAAAAACTTTGGGTCCTGGAGCCCATGTTACAATCCGATCTTGTTGCAAGGGATGTTGCACAGGTCCTCAGTCCGAAGGATTTATCCTTAATAGTTTAACATTGCTACAGTCTCCATGACTGAGTAACAGAGATCAGCAAAACTCAAAAATGACCAACCCAGCAATAAAAGCAGCTAAGACTACATTTTTCTGTAGGCCAGATAAGCCTTTACCTGCCACTCTCACTGTAACATCCGTCAGGTGGTCTCCCGGCTTCAGGTGACTGTACTTGTCTATAAAATCTGAGAGAGATAACTCAACATGGAACTTGTGGGGATAGGGATCTTCATTTGTGCCCTTAAGCTGCTGGACTGCATGGCTACGGATCTTGTAGTATTGCTGTCAGCAGAAACAAACAAAATCAAATTATTTTATTAGAATCTGAAAGTATATTATAGGCTGAGAATTAAACTGCAGCTGCCCTGAGGCAAGAATATACATCTCTCCCCTTTGAACCATTTAATTACCCATAAATAAAAAAATCAAATGCCAGTCAGTAAGATTTATTCACAGAACATCGAATAAGCATGGGTCCAGATTCTCACATTTGGATCCAAGCTTTCCTCATCAGCACCAACGTTATCCTCAGAAGTCAAGGAAGGCTTATTTGAATGCTTTTCACTCTGCTCTTTCTGCTTTGCCTCTTTTTCAGCTGTTTTTCTCTCAGCCTTTAAACGTCTCTTCAGCTCACTGAAAAAAAAGAACGAAACCGTTTGCAGCAAGTACTCTGTTACTTCTACAGAAAAACGACTGGCAGGATTCTGCTAAAATTTAACTGCACAAATAACCCTGTCACTTCCCTTGCTCTTCCCAATAGTCAAAATAATTCTCAAGCACGTTTAAACATTTCCTATTTTCAACCCCTTCAGTTCATCCTGTACGATACAAATACTCAGAGAACGTGAAAGCGAAAGTAAACGCCGTTTAGACAGACCTTGAGAATGTATGCCTACGTCCCTCAAGGAGTTGCCGCACTCCATTGTATCCGTAAGAGCCTAGGAGCCCTATGCAGCGCCTAAGTGAAACAAGGCAAACTTCCCGAGAAATAACGTAGAGCTCCCGAAGCCACCTTGGCGGTCCAGCCTGTTCCCCCACGGCCCTCAGGCTCCTGCCGCGCTGCTGACCCCGCCTTCCAGGATTCCACAAGGAAAGAAGCGGGCAAAGCCATACGCAAAGCACCGACCTGCTTTGGTCATGAAGCGCCTGCTGCCATCGAAGCGCGGGCGCTGCCCTCCAGACGCAGCTGCGGAGCCGCGCAGCGCCGGGGCTCAGCATAGCGCTCCGAGAGGTGCCTTGGCGGAGACACGCACCGGGTCAGCTGGACACACTTCACCTCCCCGTCCCGGCCCCACCTGACCACCCGCCCACCCTCACTTTTTGCTGAGGTGCGTCTCCGCGGCCTCGCACTCGCGTGCCGTCGCCGTCGCCATCTCCCCGCTGCCGGCACCGCCACCGCCCTTCCGGCTTTCTACGCCTGCGCACGCGGCGATGGCGGGCGGCCGGGCCGGGGCGGCGATGGCGGCGGGCGGATCTGGGGCGGCGGGCGGAACAGGGGCGGCGATGGCGGCGGGCGGAACAGGGGCGGCGATGGCGGCGGGCGGAACAGGGGCGGCGATGGCGGCGGGCGGAACAGGGGCGGCGGGCGGATCTGGGGCGGCGGGCGGAACAGGGGCGGCGATGGCGGCGGGCGGAACAGGGGCGGCGGGCGGAACAGGGGCGGCGGGCGGATCTGGAGCGGCGATGGCGGGCGGCCGGGCCGGGGCAGTGCGGTCCCGGTCGCTGTTCCTGTGGGATAACGGGCGCCCTATGCGGTTCTACCTGCGGCCCGGTCAGGCCAAGATGCGCCTGGCGCCGCTATTGCTGGCGGGCGGCGGGCAGCTGTGCTATGTGCTGGAGCCAGGGGCCGTGCTCCTGGCGCAGCCCGGCGAGGCGGCTCCCAACGGGGCCATCTCAACGGAGTATGTGACGGAGTGCGTGGAGCGCAACCAGCGGCTGCCACTGGAGCCCTTCCGGCTGCCTGCCGCGCCGCCTGCCGCTGCCCCGCCCGACCGCCTGGCCTTCACGGAAGCAGAGGATGCGGCGCTGCTGCAGGCGGTGCGCGGCCAGAGGACGGTGCGGGTGCACGGCTGTGCGCTATGGATTGAGCTGGAGCGGAGGGGCCTGACGCGGCACAGCTGGCAGGCCATGCGTGACCGCTTCCTGCGGCACCTACGGCCGCGGCTCTGGGGTGAGCGGGGAGCACAGCGGCGGGGGAGGGTTGCGAGGGGCGCGATGGCGGCAAGGAGCGTGGGCCCGGGCCCCGCTGAGGCCCGGCAGACTAAGCCTTCGTGTTTCCGCAGAGCCCCCGCAGACGGACGATCCCACGCAGATAAGAGGCCTGTTCGCGGCAGCTAATCGGGAGTTCGAAACCACGGAGGTGAACGGCCGGGGCCAACCTGGGTAGCAGCCGTGCTGCTGCAGCCGCCGCTGCGCGAACAGGAAGGAACAGACCTTCCCTGGTTTGACGGCACAACAGAAGCTCACGATTAACACATGAATGACTTTAACGCCGATATCTCTTCTACCGTGTCTTAACGGGAGCTTCCAGTGAGCTGTCACTTACGTGGGTTGTGATAAATAGTGCCTCGCTGGTGCATTTTTTCTTAACTTGATTCCTGCCCTAATTAATACTAGGAGGTTTATGTGATGGGGGTTGTCACGTTAAATGCTGTATTGGCAAATGGAAGTCATCCTGAACCTGACAAAAATCGTTCCTTCAGTTACATCAACCCACACTTTTGCCTTTTATGTTTAGTTTGTTCAAATTCTTCCTTACAGATCRTGGTTTTCTGTGATCATGTACAATTTCATTAACAGATACGGCTTCACTTCAGTGACTAGCTTTTGATATGCTAGTAATTTCTGAGGTTTTATATACTGTAGAGTCAGAGTGGAAGGTGGTTGGTTGCAGTGGTAAAAAAAGATGTTTGCCAGAAAATATCATGTCTAATTGGTGACTCCTCTTTTCTTACTGTTAGTCAGAAAGTGACTCTTCAGATGCTGCAGAAGAACTTTCTACACAAGCTGGAGTGGGAAGGTCCCCAGGAGAAACAGCATCTGCTCTGAAAACTGGACCAGAGAACTCTGCTTCCCCTGACATTCAATTAGAAAGACAAGAAAGACCAAAAAGCGCTGCTTCTGCTTCCGGTGTGGTGGGACAAATAGTAAAAACTATGGAGTACTTCATGGAGCAATTTGCTGTGGACCTATTCACTGTTACACAGGCGTTTCTGAAAAACAGTGGTGATGTGCAAGCTACCTCATACTTTCTGCAGACAGGGCACCGCTTGGATGGGTACCCTGTGTGGAGCAGAGAGGATGATTTAGAATTGCAAAAGGATGATGAACATGTCAGAAATGAATTGATAGCAAAATTTGGAGCTGAAAATGTAGCAAAGCGAATAGTATTTAGGGAAAGTTAGCAAGAGGACATGACAGATCTAGTACTGTTGCGTGAATTTAATAGTCATTTCAGAAGCACGATAAAAAATTTGATCAATGTTCTGAAGTTTCCAAAATGCTTTATAGTATTTTTTTTTATTTAGAAGGCAAATTTTGCATCTCTGTGGATCTAAGAGGTGCACCTGCTTTAATCCAAGCAACGTTACACTTGTATCAGGCCATGTGTTTTAACCAGGAAAAATACACCAGCTTCTAGGACTATGTGTACCAGTTGAGGTTAGGAGATAAAAGTTAAGAAAGAATAATCAGCATTTATGTATCTATCACCTAAGTTGTGCCTGAGAGAGAACACCATCKCTAGGAGACAGTCATAATCTGAAACGCTCAGTACTTTTAGCCTGAAACTGTGGTCTGGTCATTTATTTTAATATTATTTGAAGTGAGTCCTAAAAATGGGGAATTCATTCTTTTGGTGAAGTAAAATGGGCTGGTAAAAGCCCTTAAGTGGGTTTTTTTTTTGTTGGTTTTTTTTTTTTTTCTTTTTTGTTTTGTTTTGTTTTGGGGTTTTTTTGGGGGCGGGTGGTTTGCTTTGGTCTTCTTTTGGGTTTTCACACAATCACACAGAATCACTAGGGTTGGAAGAGACCTTTAAGATCTTCAAGTCCAACCCATGCCCTAGCACCTCAACTAAAGCATGGCAGCGCCTCAACTAACCCATGACATTTTTTGGTGGTTTTTTTTTTTTTGTTTTGGTGTTCTCAATTTTGATTTTGGGGGGTATTTTTCCTTGCTGTTTTTTCTTTCTCCTGACAGCAGACCTGTCACCTTGTGCAGCCTAGAATTCCCATTCTAGTTTGGGCAGTATACACATCTTAGCAGCACCATAGTCTTGCATTTCAATGGTCTTATTTAATTAAACTGCTCTAGAATTCAAAGTGAGAGGCAGAACACACTAAATAGCTGCAATATAAAATGATCAGACTTACTATATCTTTTTGTAATTCTAAGTGACTCTTGGTTTAAGAGTGAGTTTGTCTTACTGTGGCAATAGACTAAGAAGGAAAGCAGACTTCTGAGTCCACATAGAGTGTTTTTATCTTTGCAGAGCCATATGGACACATTGTTTAACGCTGAGAATCTTTCCATATGCACTCGGTGCACTCCGCAGTGTAGGAGCTAAGACGCAAAGATCAAGGTTTACCCAAGGTTGCCCTTTTTCGTCTGTTAACATCTGAAAGGCATTGCTTATCTACAGATTCGCTTGCTTGTGCAGGCAAATGGGTGTAGTCACTTTTTACCAAGTAAAAACCTGGAGGACCCAGAAATATGGTTCTTCTGGTTCCACCTTTTCCCATGATAAAAATGTTTTCTCTGCTTTCTCTTACACACAACACAGTTACGCTCTTTTTGACATGCTGGATATAGTTTGGTTTTCCATGTTTGTATCGGGTTCCTGTAGTATCACGAAAGTTCAGGAGGGTTTTTTTTGTAGCTCAAAGAACAATGCAAGTTTCTTTGTATTATTGCCTGGAGCAGCAATATTTGTATACCTGGAAAAATTAGCAAAGTGGCAATGCACATAAAAGAGCTTTGAGTTAACAATTCTACAGCCAGAAATTCTGGGTTTGCAAGCTATTGTCTGGAATTTGAGTATTTCCTGTTTGCTTTTTTCTGGAGTTAGCCAGCCTTCATCACAATCAATTAATTTCTTTCATAACCAGAGTTACCAGTGAGAAACATTGTATGCACTAGGTTGAAGAGCAACCAACAAGAATACCACAGAGTAAGCTTTTAAATGTCCTTTTGACTAGAGACTTCTCCATCTTACAGTTTACTGGTGTAAAAACAGAGTTTATTCTTCGAAACTTATACAATGTAAACTTACTGTTTGTTTCTAAACAGACTTCTGTGATCTTTATTTTATGCATGTGCCAAAGGTCGTAGTCAKAGTTTTACATGTCATCATCAGCATCTTGAAATTTTGGGGCCTTTTTATTGGGCTTTCTTATTGTTCCTCCAGAAGTATTTTAAGTTGCCTTTGCTCACATTAACACAACTTTAAATTTTCATGTGACCAGACTGGCAAGACTTTGCTGTTCCCAGAAAAAAAGTATTACAAATTGTTGTATTGAGGAAACATACCTAAAGGATTGTAATAAAGATATACTGAAATCAACTATCCTGCATTTTCTCTGATTAAGCTTAGAAAGCAGAAGGTAATTTTCAGAACAATACATTAAGAAAATGCATCGTATGTTACTTTTACGTCATTTTTTTACCGACTGAAAATACTGTGAAGGTTTTTGTTCAGGTGATCGTTTGATACACGAAATTGATCGAATCCACTGAAAACAAGTATTTATAATAAAACTTAAGCCAGTCAAGCTGACAATGGTAAATGTAGAGATAACTAGCAATTTTTAGGGCAGCATTCGAAATAATCTATTTCTGCTCTGAATCTGACTTCTTGGCACTTAAAGTAGGAAGCTCTTTACTATAACTTCAGTAAGAAGGGGCTTTTAGCTGCTTTTAATTGAATATGTTGAGGTCTGTTTTAAAGGGACTATAAAGAAAAACAGTGGCTGTGTGCTTCTGTGGCCGTACAACTACTTCTCTGTCAGCTTGCCTGCTTCAAGTTTCTGTAAACAGTGTAAAGGAACATACCTTGCTTTCAGTGAACTTTCCACCATGATGCCAGTGCTGCCTGCTCAGCATGGATTTTGTGATTAAACCAGATCCCTAGTAATGAGACTTATCTCCGTAATACAATATCCCACCCTTTTCAGTGATTAGGGSTTTAGCTCTAGGAATATAGATATCCATATTGCCAAGCTAGCAAGTGATCTGTAGATGTGCATTCAAGGGGCTCTGCAGTTTGCACATGAAAGAGAATGTTCAGAAAGAGATATTTGTAGACATTTCACTCCTCCCCAAGTTTGGTGCTGAGTTTTTCTCCTTTTCTTCTGAAACACTATTAAAACTAGGTAAAAACAATTCTGCTGTTTGGGTTTGAGCTATATATTCTCACTTGAGGTGGAAAAATGGCATAGTCCATGAAACATACTTTTTTGTGCTCTGTGACAAGAAATAGTCTCACCAAATATTTCAAAAGGATAACTTCCTGATCTTTTCTTGGCTTCTGTCCACTCCTATAAACCCATCTTCCCAGTTCCAGTATTTATGCCATTGGAATCTGTGTCCTTACATTGTCTTTAGGATCTCAACCTTAGCATGAATTCTTCTGCCACACATGTGGACTGTGGGTATTCCCAGGGAAATAACCTTTCGTGGGTTTGAAAGCTAGAAGACAGAATTATTTCAGCTAAAAAATAAACAGATTCATATAATCCCAAAAATGGTTTCCAACATGAAAAGCCAGGAGTTTTTCTTTTCAACAATAGCAGGTTTATTCCATTTTCCCATTATACAGTAAGTGAACACAAACATTTCCCCAACTTTGCCACCAAGGCTGGATACCGAGACACATGAGTGGAACAAAAGGAAAACTGGACTTGAAAAAAAAACCAAAAAACAAAAAAAAAAAAAAAACCAAGACAAAACCCAACATCTTTCCAGAAACCAAATGTCTGGTCATCCTTGTGTCTTTCCTGGCACTATGTATCCTGTGTGGCAGCATGACAAATAATGTTCTCTTTATTCAGCTTCCTTTTATATTTCCTCTTCCTTTGCAGTGCAGTTGCTCCCTGTGGTTTCCCTCGTTTTCAGCTGGTGGTCTTGTGTGGGGTTTGAACTCTGCTATCTGGTCCTACTCCTTTGGTATGCTGTATGCTCCAACCTAAACATAATTAATTTGGAAAACAAACTTGCATTACTTTAGCCTCCATTGTGGCTGAGTCTCCAGGGGTCTTGGAGAGTGATCCAGTACTGCTGAGAGCTCTCCTGAATGGAGTCAGGGTTCTTGTATTACTTGTCCTTGCATCCATGCACATCCATGCATACACTCTACACTTCCTACACTCTACACTTCCTACACCTCTGTCCTCTTTGGCTTCAGTTCTGCACTATGCAGCCCTCAGAGAGTAGGCTTAGAGACCAGCTTTTCTGCCTTCAGAATTTGATACTCAGAGGAGTTCTGCGCAAACAAAAGATCCAAAGACATATTTTTCTGCTCTTCTTCAGACTCAACAAGCCGGTAGCCCAACAAGTCCATCGCATCTTTGCACACCTTTTGCACTTTTTCTATTTTCTGGAAGGGAACTGTCTTCCTCCAGGCCTGGGATACTCTCAGTGCATCTCTTGACCCAATATCAAAGGCCTGTGCTCCATGACCCTTCCCATGGGTGATGTTGTGGACCCATTTCTGAAGCTCTGGTGTGAAATGGAGTTCTGCAAACCTATACATCTGAGCAGCCCTTGCTAGCGGGTCTCTGACAATGTCTTCATAGCGAACAAGCAGGTACCGGTCTTTCAGGAAGCTGGGAATGGCTTGACTTCCTGCCTTGTATATCTCAACATGGCTTTTGCAGATTACTTGCATTGTGTTGTAGGGCCCCATTTCTCCCTTTGTCTTCTGAGACCCCACAACAATGTTACTGTCACGTTTCAGGTCTGCCATTGTATTCTCTCGAGATCTGAACACAGCCCGAGGATCTCGTACCAAGTGAATGATTCTGAGGTTCAGGGATGGATCAGTGAGAAGGGGATAGAGAACTTTCAGGTCAAAGAACCGAACTTCCTTGATGGCAACATGGCTATAGGTTTTACAGGCTTCTTCCACCTTGCTGAATGGGTACTTGCCACAGATTGTTTTGCAATTGCCTGCAGTGATTATGTCACTGCGACTGAATGAGTCACAGGCAGGTGGGGAGCACAAGGCTCGGCTTGTCTCCCACTGAAATAAATCAGACTTTTTCTTTTGGCTGGACATATAAGCATCAAACACAGACATGTCACACAGAAAGACAGACCTGACTAAGTCCCGAACTGCCATGTGTAAGACTTTGGCACTGTTCTGGTACATCTTAACCCAAACATGCCATGCGGGCTCCATCAAGTAGAAGACACTGGGATGCTGGCTGAAGATTTGTCCAGTGAAGGAAGATCCTGACCGCCAGGATGAGAGAATGAGGATGTGGACAGGAGAAGGTTTTTCTTCTGTGTGGGGGTTGTTGCTGCAGGGTAGGAAGTGGATCAGAAAGAAGGACAGAACTACCAGGGTCAGGAGCRCCTGCACTCTTCTAGACTTCATCATGATTGCAAGGGACCTGCAGAGACAGAGGAAGTTCAGCATCACRAGATGATGAAAAAGGCAGGATGTGGTGCATCGGGCTCCCATGCATCTCTCTGCAGGTACAGGGTTTGGGAAAGCTGCCACRCTACTAGTGACACTGTGACAACCACTGCACCAGGTGTCTTCGCAAAGAATGTAAGTGCTGTAGAGCTGAAGGTTTTCTGCAGCAAAACCACTGTTTGGTAGTAAGTCATTATAATATAGTCTTAGAAGATACTGAAAGCTTGCCTGCACTTTTATCAAAGTTTAAGAGCTAGGTGAATGCACTGAAATAAGTCCATGCACACAAATGTGTACTTCACGTACACAAATCCCTGCAAACAATCCTGGCAATTTTTATGAAGGAAAGATGCAAACCACCAATTTTTGTGGAGAATTCAACAGTTCCCTATTGTTACTTTTAAACACCTACTCTGACCAGCATTTACAATTGCTTTCATGCCAAAATGCTATAAACATACAATATAGGTTGCAATTTGTTTTGATTATATTCTTTTTGAAATTTCAGAAAACATCTATTGTCACCACAGGCAAAACTTTGCATACCAAAGGAAGAAGCTTGGCACTGTAATAAATCCAAGCACAGCAATCTCTCCTCCCCGGACAGAGCTTTGTAAGCAATTTTGCTAGAAAGTCCCACAAGGTCTTTTCCATCTTTGTGCAGGCAGGCTTACCTGTCCCACCAACCCCATTCTGAGCCTAACTCCTTTTTAAGGACTGTCTCCTGCTACCATCCCCTCCAACCCCATTCATCCTATAGGTCTTTTATTAATTGAGGTACAATAGAATGTGCTAGTTGAGCTCAAAGGTCTACCCAAAGCCGGCTCCTTGTTTTGTACGCTAAACCTCTCTTCTGCCTGTGGAGGATGACTGACTTATTGGAAAATGTCTAATAATTTTCATGCCACATGCTGGGGACATGGCATAAAAATGCCACGGGGAAAATTCATAGCCTGAATACCAGCTGGCACGGGAATCTGCAGGAAGTACACCACTGAAGATGGATCTGAGGCAGAAAGGATTAATTTATGTGTTACAAAGCACATTTAAGCATACTTTGCCAACTACTCCTGTCTTGTGCGCTCTCCTTCTGTCCCCCAGCAGTGCCCAACTGTGCCTCAAATGCAGGTGGATGTCCCCAGCGTTGGCTGCCCCTGGAGTCAGGCTCCTTGGGCACCACTGAAGCCCAGGCAGCATGGAGTTCTCCCCATCACCATCTGTCAGGTTGGCATTTCAGCTGTGCCACAGCAGAGACAGAGCCTTCTTGCTAGTGCAAATGCTTTATATTTTCCAAGGTGAACTAAAAATGAAAAGCTTTTCTGGTTCTTAGTCATGGTCTGTCCTTCCAGGGAAATCCAGGGAAAGACAGGACAGAGAGAAAGGGGCCTTTAGGGCAAGATGTTAATCCTCTTGGCCAGACTAGAATCTGAACCCAGGTCCTTATAGCTTTGTACACTTCTTTTGTGCAGTCCACAATTGCATGGGACTCGAGCAGCCACGCCTGTGCCGAGCAGCAGCTCCCCTATTTAAGCAGCAGAGACATGAAATGGGACTCGACCAGCTGCAATGCAGACACTGCTTCCTYGCTATATGTTTGCCAAATCATCTGTGTCCACATTTATTATGAATGTTCCCAAAGTTTCTCTAACCTCCTCCTTATGCCTGCCTCAATTTTCCTCTGCAACAGCGCTTTCAGACTAATTTTGCATGGGGGTGCCTTCTCCCATGATTTCAGTTCCTCTAGTACTGATGTTTTAGATTTTCAGGTGCAGCCACTGCTGCTAACCAACTAGGAACAGTAGTAACCTGTCCCTCCAACATAAATTGGGTTGTTTATCTAAGCTACCTGTTGTGCATTTGTGTTGAGCTTAGAGTTTATAAACCAGAAATTATAATTTCTCAGAATGAGGACAATACTCAGCCCGATGGGTAAGCCTGGCTGCTGTCAATATAGGTGGCAATTCATATCACAATATGAATTTTACTTCAGTAATGTCTAGCAAGGATGGGGCTGTGCATTTAGTGAGGGAACCACATAATTTTGGTCTCCTGGAAAAGAAGCCCTCATTTTTTTTTTTTGGTTACACAAATGGCCTGTAGTGTTCAGGTCTGACAAGGAGCTGAATCAGGCTGATATTTGGACCAACCCTAGGAAGAGCTGCAAACAAAGACTGTTGTAAAAATAAGTCATACCTCAGCTTCCTCCTTGCAAATGAATACAAGCAGTGTTTACCAAAAGTCCTGGCTTCCAAATGAACTTTGATGATATCACTTCCATCTGGCACCGCTAATACTGTCATTCTAACTCCTAACAGAGTTCCTGGAATATAGCCAGAAGCTCTTAATTGAGAAAAACTCTGTTGAGCAGACATGAACAATGGCATGAAGACACCCAGGAAGATTTAAAACCATAGAAATAGTTGTGTCTTTCTAAACCTACATGTGAATTGACTGAGTGTGAGAATGGAATCAGGTTGGGTTTTTTTCAGGAAACAAGGGTGTGCTTTTATCTTGAGTCAAATCAGGGTGGGGTAGCTGGATGTTTTAGACATTTCACAAAGTTACTACGTTTGCTGGAAATTACCTTGCGTGAGACCACAGTTTCAACAGCTTCTTCACTCTTTTGTAAGAAATAGTGATAATTGTTGCCCTCACAAGTCTGTTCCAGAGAGAATAGAAGGACTGAAATGAGTTGGGCACCTGAAGAACTGGAGTAAAAGCAGCATCATACTACGCTATCGATCATAATTCCCTAATATGACGGAAATACTAATTACATAATCTTATTTTTCACCACTGTATTTCTCAATCATGGCAGCTGGGATGTTTCTAAACTAAGGTCTCAAGCTTACCCACATTTTCTCTACAGGAAGCATCCGGACTCACCAGTGACTGAGTTAATTTCATATCACAAAAGTAAAAATATGAAACTCTCATTGAGCTGCCAAGATCAGCCCAGAATGATTGAAACAATCTCAGCTGCAGAACAAGAAAAGCACATTCTTACTGTGTGCTAACAGTGAGATGAGCCAGGATTTGGCTGAGAGCAGAAAGAACTGCAAGAACCTCAGGGCACAAAAGGTGCAATATTGAAACTACTGAAAAATACAACAATCCAGTGTCACCATGTTAGAGTCTGTCACAGCAAAAGTATGAGAACGCTGCCTGACCAGCTGGAGTCTCAAAAAAAAAAAAAAAAAAAAAAAAAAAAAAAAAAAAAAAAAAAAAAAAAAAGGAGAGCCATATGCTTTTCCAGAAACACGCAGGGACCTTGGAAAAACTTGATCCTGGCAAAGAGCAAGCATTATAGAAAGCAGCAAGAAGCAGCCCAAGGGAAATGTATCTATAAAACATATTCAACATTGGGCCCCATGTCCCCACATCACAGACATTGGTTGAACTTGTGCATGTCTGTGGCAGGTGTGAGACAGTTACAGCCTAAAACACCTTGTGCTGTGCAAATTAATGTCAAGTGCTCTGCCAGTCTGAGGGAGTTTTCCAGACCTGTACAGTATAGCAATGAGGATCTGGTGCCAGGGAAGTCCCACTCACTGATCTTTGATGGCACTGGTGGTTGCTCATTGTTTTTTCAAATGCTGTTTCAAATTGGGCTGGTTGGTTTCTGCAGAATTAGAAGTCATCTGCCCATTCAGAGATGAGCAGCTGGTACCACTGTCACTAGTGGGAAAAGCTGAGTAGGGGCACTGAGAAGACAGTCTGGAGAAGCAGGAACTATCCTCTAAGCCAGACCCACAATTTCTGTCTGCAGAAAAAACTGTCACAATTTGCTGACATCAAGAGCATCCACACTAGATACCAAGAAATGATTGGAAATCTCACCTTAACAAGTCCTCTTCAAGCACTGACCAGATTCAAGCAAAGTTGCCCTCACACACGTTCACAGCTGTGGTACACACGCCTCCAGGCAGTCACACGAACAACTGTGTATTCATGTGCTGGTGCTCTGCCTTCATGCTGTGCTCTCATACACACATGTATTCAGCTCTTACCTACACCTGTGCCTGCCCCTTCCTGTCCCMTTCGTGTACATCCCAGCTCTGAGACTGATCTACACTGCCCGCCTACTCTGACCAGCCTGCAACTAGAAAACTCCACCCTGCACTCAGCACAAAGTACAGGAATAGCAGTTTCCTGCAGGGATGTGAATGACCAGGCGCTGCTAATAAAGGAGCAGGCCCAGAAAGTTCATGAAGGAGACAGAGAGACACTTTTAACTCTTGTTACAAGCCCCAAAGCAGACGGCTTCCTGTAAAACCAGGAACAGGGATGTCTGTGAAGTGTCAGAACAAACGACAAACAAGAACTCTGGCTGCAAGGAGGACCAGCTTGCCCACCATGAATGCAGAGATAGGGTATATTTTCCTACTATTGCTCTGTCTGCTTGTCGTGTTGTCAGCAGATACAGATTCACATGAAATAATTTTGACTCTTCCCTGTCTGTACTTTGCTTGAATGAAATATTGGGGACTGGGAAAGAAAATGGTGTGAAAGGACAAGCCGTGAAAGGAGCAGCAGGACTTGGCCTGTTAATGATTCACGAGGGTGCTGGAGCTGCAGTGGGGCTGTGCCAGGTAGGGTAGCAAAACAAGGCAGCACTGGGCTCAAGAGAAATACTTCCACACAGAGACAGTTGTTTTGGGTCATTTCCATTTCAGATCTCATAGATTCTGTCACACAGTCTGGAGGGATACAGACCTCTTAATTGTGTCCTCTGTTCCTAAGGACCTGACTGCTGCTCTCAGGACAAGAAGAATATAGGAGACAGCAAAAGGAAAAACCTGGACAAGGCTAGTCCTTCCAGCAGGAGGGACAATCTGAATGGGGCAGGTCATGTTCCCTTTCACTTGCTGCATTGCAAACACAGATGGTCAAGCCCTGGTAACTCTGGGCTGGGAAACAAAGTGAGAAGTTGGCAGTGGTCCAGGTAGGGCCCTGTGGAGAACYATGCAATGTTCAGTGCAACTTGGATTTCCACTATGTGTTCCCAAGGCCCGCACTTGACACCTGTACCTGTAGGAAGGATTTAGCTGTATGTCATTGGGTGTTAGAAAATCTTCGTAAAGGCCACTTAAGCAGCTCTTTCTGAAGCATTCTTTTCCTCCCTGGCCAACAGCTGCATGAACAGAGATGCATAAAAACTTCTGTTTCAGCTGTATGTAGTTTGCCCAAGATATACTGATCCTTTGGCATCAATATATAGTCTTTGTGACAGCACTGACTGCTGTGCAGTCATTTTGTCAAAGGGTTGAGCAGATGTTTCCACTTTTATAGATACCACATTTTAATTATTTGTGTGAGCTTTTCAGAAGGAAGTCTCTGTGACATGAGCAGTTGCACAGAGGAGGAAAATGTGCTCTTCCTTGGATTTGAGATTTGGGAGAGAAAACTGGTCTGGCACACTGTGTTTCCTGAGACCTGCACATTGTGACACTTGAAGGAGGAAACCTCTGGCTCCTGAACAACAATCATGCTCCCTGTATGTCTGACTCAAAAGCATTTATGACGCACAGCAGAAGCATACAGGGCAGAGCAATCCCAATCACAAATATAGACCATGTGGCACATGGACTGGTGTCAGCCCTAAGAAGGACTTGGAGGTGTTTGTGGACAGAAAGCTTGACATGAGCCAGCCATGTGTTCTGAGTGCCCAGCCATGTCCTGAGCTCTGTGTCACCAGCAGTGTGGACAACAGGACAAGAGAGGGGATTCTTCCTCTTTGTTCTGATGAGACCCCACCAGGAATATTGCATCCAACTCTGGTATCCTCAGTACAGGAAAGACACGGGCCTGTTCCAGTGGGTCCAGAGAATGACAGATTTCTATTTTCTACCCTCTCTCTGGGCACTCAGACAAGTGAGCTCTGTGAAATGTCCATGCAATCATACTTTCTATTTCTTACACCCTGAAGAAATAAGCAATATATACTGTGGTTCCCGGCATGCATAAACATATCACACCTGACCCAGTGCAGCAGCAACAGAAATAGGCTGAAGAGTAATGGCAGTGGTATAGACTAGAATTTAACTCCACACTGTAGAAGTCTCTCAGCCTGAGGGTATGTTTTTGATAGCTGGGAATAGATGGGCAAACCAGGCATACCTATGGCAGCGAACCCAGCTCAGATGTAATGTTTGACTAACCACATGTCCTGTCTTCTGTCATCAGCTAGAGCAGATGCCTAGGGAAGAGAACAAGGAAAACATTTCCTCCCTGAAGCCAGGGATCTGGGGTATGTGATTCACCTCTCTGAATGTAGATGTCCAAAATCAGATAGAGAGAGATGCCCGGGAAGCTCCTATTTCTTCCTGTTGGGTGTGACAGGGTGAGTGGACACAGAAACTATCTAAAATCAGTTCGGATCAAGCTTGTATTCACATTCTATAGCACCTAAACTTTTTTTATTCACTTTTCCAGTCTTGTTTTTAACTCAGATACTTTTGGCATCAACAGGATTTCTTGACAATATGGACATGTTTGGCTGTGTGTTTTGAGAGCTACTTTCCTCAGCTGTGAACCTACATATGAGAACTGTATTTGGTATAATCACAGTTTTTTTGGTTGGTTTTGTTTTTTGGTTTTTTTTGTTGTTTGTTTTTTTTTTTTTTTTAATCAAGAGACACAATGAGTAATTTCTTCCTATTTGCAGTCATCAAGCTTTACAATTTTTTAATATTTGCTCTTATATGCCCTGTAGAACACAACTCATACCAGGCTGATATCTAAAGCAGCTCATGGGAATCATGCTGTGAAAGTCTCCATCACTTTCAGGTATGTGATGGGATAGTTCACATTTTCTGCATCCCAAAGGCATGACACTGGAAAGCTGCTGTAAGAGTCAGTGCTGTGACTATGCACTGATGAAGGTTTCCCTTTCAAAGCAGAGGGAGTTCAGTTGTTTTCTCTCTGACACCTCTAAATCTGTAGGGAAAAGATGAAAATTTATGGCTTTGCAAGACTGAGTGGAGACAAAGCTGCAATTCGGCTGCTCACACAAGGGCTATGCATGGTCTCCTGTGCTGATCTCCTGGATTTGAGTACTGCAATGTAGTGTTTTGAAATGCACAGGGAAATCCCTGCTCCTTGCAATAAAGGAACTTGACAGTAATCTACAAGTCTCCATGTCAATTGCTTATAACTGTCATTGGGATGAAGGCAACAGAAAGAACTGTGCTTTGAGGAAAGAGCCTTTTTTGATAGGGATGCCATATACGGTCACCCTGCTTGCTTTAGAAATCATTATTCAGAGGAGGGAAAGAAAATGCAGCAGTGAGGGAAGCTCCAGAATGCATAGGAGCAGAGGTGCAATGCCTGTGCTAAATTCCAGTCAGAGCAAGTTCTTTCTGAGCCAGAGCAGATCTTGACCCATATGCCTTCCAGAACAAGAAAACATGAGACTGATGACTGATATGATGTTCTATATGGAGACATCCCTCCAAGGACAGGCTGGTGTGCTCCTGCACTCAAGTTGGTGTGGCTTTTCCCTTGTGTTTAAGTTTTAAAGTTATATTTTTATGTAGAAGCAGTTTGAGATATGAATGTGATAGGATTCAGATGTGTCTGAATTGGCACATAAGAACCCAAAGTTGTACTAAGCAATAGCAAAGATAGTGGCCGATGTCCTCTCTCTCTCACCCTCGCACAGCTGCAGTATCATTTATTGTCTTACTTACAATGCAGTACTCTAATATAAAGTGGTGGGGGAACAGGCAGTCTAAAACCAGAAATCAGCAGAGGAATTGAAGCTTGGAGCAGAACAGCTAGTTTAAGAGTTGAGAAAAACAACAGCAAAGCAAACCTGAAGCATACATAGCCCATGCAATGCACTGGAGTGCAGAAGACCCTGTGCTAGCACCAACTGCATCTCTAAGGCACCCAGGAAATAAGTCATTCAGACTGGCTGACAACACCTCTTTGCTTTGGCAAAGCTTCAAGGAACACTGACCCAAGACAAATAAGGAAACCAAAGACAATAGATGACAAAGCAAAGGGGTGGTACAGACTTGGTCTCCCAGCACTGCGGGAGGCCATGCCAGACAGCCTAACTTTCCTCCTAATGAGGAAGATCCCGGTTCTTCTGCTCCTCAGGAGGCTCTCCTAGTGGTGGGGACTGAGGGTGAAGGCTAGTGTAGAACATATAACCTTCATCTTGTTCTGTCTGGTTGTTAAGCTTAGCTATCCTGGTAGGTGCCTTCTAGTGACTGGAACTCTGCTGAGGATGTATCTTGCATGGCTGTCCCATTGATAGCATGACTTTGACCATGCTAAGCCTTCCTTCTCCTGCAGAGCTCCTCTAAACTCTCACACTCTGGTTTGCAAAATCCCTCCCAGTCACCTCAAATAAGCACTGTCTTCCAGTCCACTTGTGCCACCTCCTCTTACATCCCCGGTTTCTCCCTAGCCACTTCTCATGCTTGTGGAAACCTATATGTGCCTTACTTTGCCATGCATCTGGGTAATACTACCAGAGCAGGTCAGCTCCTTTGGCCTCTGACATAYCAGCACACCCTGTGAGAACAAGGTTACGTCCTAGGCCTCACGTACAAAGTTCTTCACCAACACCTTCCCTTAGAGTTGCATCACCCATGCAATGCTCAAGCCTCATCTGAGTTCCCGGAAAGTCTGGACTCTGGTTCACCAGGGCTTCCACCATCATTCCCAGACTGCTTCCATCCTGGGTCCAGATCAGTGAAAAACTCATCTTCCCTTGCAGGTATACAGCATGGCTACATGATGGCAGAGAGCAGGCTAGTACAAACAGGTTCTTGCAGCCAAAGGCCATAGCCCCAGGGCAGGAAGACCCTCAGGGATCCCTCTGGTCTACAGCCTGGCTACTAGAAGAGGGAATGGTGAGGCTATGGCCAGGAGCTAGGCTTTATTTGGATTCCTAAAGCACCTGGGGAAGCTGATGGCCTCATTGCTGGCAGGTGCAGTTTGTCCCAGCTTGCCTGAAGTGCCCGTTACCCTGTCTGGGTTGAACCCTACTGCCAGCCCCTTTAGAAGCTGAGGACTAGTACACTTCACCTGCATTG